GGAGTTTATTGGATTCAGGCACAAGAGCATTAGTGAGGTCAGGTACTGATGTAGGATGGCTAGTTCTGGAATGCCACTCCAGCTTGTTCAAAAATATTAGACGATGCTTCATCACTCTTGAAAACGCAGTTCAACTGCTTCACAGCCCAACGGTGGGGGGGGCTTTATACCTCTCTAGCCAGCACTTGGCATCCGGCATGGCCAGTTTAAGATCATGTGCAGCTGCTCCAGGTCGTCCCATTCTATTGACAGTACTTTTCTGTGGACACTACACAAGGTTTGTGTCTGGAATTGAATGCTTGTGTCAGCAGTGGGTGCATCTTAAAGTAGCAGAGTTCACTAAACAGAAGGGTATATACTTTTGGACGTATAGTGTATGTCTAACATCTGTCCCCATTCATGAGGTGTTTTCTGTTTCTTACAGGTATTCGTGTTTGATGTTGGGGGAAAGGCATGGAAATCTTATGACTGGTCAAAAGTGACAACGGTTGCTGTCTTTGGAAAGTATGACGCTGAGCTAATGTGTTATGCTCATTCCGAAGGAGCACGTCTCGTTTTGAAAGGTAGAGGTCATTTGCAAATGTGCAGCCTGCAAACAGAGAAATGACAACAACTGACTTACTCTTCCAAAATTCACACAAGTTGATCTTCTTCATTAAACTGTGGACGTTCCTTCACAGGTGATGTGCCCCTTCAAGATATGGTGGATGAAGCCAAAAGGACCACTTGGATCAAGGAAAAGCTCAATTTGGCTAAGAGCCAGTTTATGGACGGCATAAACCTTGACATTGAGCAGGCAGTGGAAGAGTCCTCGCCCGAGTACTATGCTTTGACAGCTCTTGTGAAGGAGACCACAGATATGTTCCATAAAGAGATTCCAGGCTCTCAGGTAGATTGTCGATTAAAGCATGAAAAAGACCTGCTGCATAGTTTTTAAAGGGGAACTCCAAAGATTTAGCAAAATTAATTAATCATTTGATGGTTTAGATGTAATCAAAAATCATTCCGAGGTTCATGGTTCGGTGTGAAATGCACCTTTCTAGAGAAATTTAGTCAAAATTGTTTACCATTATAGTACTAGGAACCAGACGTCATTACGTCGACACTACATAATCACCATTTTATCTTCTATTCAAAATGACTTACATGTGTCTAAAGTATTTATGTCATGCTGTTAATCTTAAAAAAGTGCTCCTTTGGGTACAATTTTTTCCTTAAAACGCCCTGCATGTACCTCTCCGCCCTTCACGCGTTTTAGAGAAGGGTCTGACTGCAGAGCCACAGATTTACACACCCACAGCTTCACTCCAGCATAAGGTAATCAAGGTAGGAAACATTTGTGAGTGAAATAGTCGTCGTTAGCCACCATGCATATATCACTGATAGCCGTTAGGTTACAACTGGGTTCAGTCTCTCTGTCTTTTCTCCCTTTTCGCTCTTCTTTAAACCCTCCTTTGTGTATTCTTGTTCAAATTGATATGGATCTACGACATTTTGGAAACATACCTCCTCAAAGTCCTCTGCAATCTTACAAAATAGGTAAGAAAACGGTAAAAATAAACTGTAAACAAAAGCTGCCTCTGGCGTTAGCTGTGTTGAACGGCTGAAGCTACAGGCCGTAACAGTGCGCATTGATCACAGTTGAGAATGCGGTTTTGAGAGGAAACAAGGAAGTAATCCTCGGATAAAGGTTTATATTAAAAATACATTTTAAGCCAAAACGTTATAACAAAACTACCACAAAACAGTGTCTCAGGTATCAAGCAACACTGAAAACCATTTTGTGTAATAACTTAACGGGATATAGCTTTTAGAGTCATTAAGTGCTTTAGACGTCTGGTTCCTAGTACTATAATGGCGAACAGTTCTGACTCTGTAAACTTCTCTGGAAAAGCGCATATCACACTAAACCACTCTGATTTTGTACACATCTAAACCATTGAATGATTAAGTAATTTTGCAAAATAGGTGGAGTTCCCTTTTAACGTTGGCTGGCATTTCAGCCGCTAACCTTTTGTGTGCCTGATGTTGAATCTTAGGTGTCATTCGATGTGGCTTGGTCACCCAAGTGCATCGATAAGCGCTGCTATGACTACACGGCGATTGCAGATTCCTGCGACCTCCTTTTTGTAATGTCTTATGATGAACAGAGTCAGATCTGGGGGGACTGCATCGCGATGGCAAATGCACCTTTCAATCAGACGTTATCAGGTAACAGGTGTAGCGTTATTGTTCTTTTTGAAAAAATGCCCAGTGGCTTTATCTTTAGAACTTCTATGGCCTTCTTTGCTGCTATCAATGAGTATGTTGTACTTGCATAACCTGTTATTGTTTTTTGTCTTGCAGCATATGATCAATACATTGGGATGAAAATTGATCCAAAGAAAGTAGTGATGGGTGTTCCGTGGTATGGTTATGACTATGTGTGTCTAAACTTCTCACAGGTAAAATAAAAAAAATGTCATGGTGGTCTGCTACCTGGACTGGCCAGTGTTAGTCATTATAATTACTAGTCTAATTGTCTAATTATACCAATACAACTACCACTGTTGCTTTCTAATAGGAGGGGGTCTGCACAATTCCCAAAGTGCCTTTTAGAGGGGCTCCTTGCAGTGATGCATCTGGAAAACAAATACCTTACAAGACCATGATGAAACAGATCAACAGCTCCATATCTGGGAGGCTATGGGATGAGGTCCAGCTGGCTCCCCACTACAATTACAAGGTATTACAAGGTATCAGTAAAACTATAATGAATTCAGAGAAATGTCATATTGAATTTACGAGCTGTTCCTCAATTCAACTTCACAGGATAAAGACGGGAAGGTCCATCAGGTGTGGTATGATGATCCAGAGAGTATCTCCCTGAAGGCCGCCTATGTGGGACAGCAGGGCTTGAGAGGGATCGGCATGTGGAATGGAAATCTCCTTGACTACAGCGATAACCCTATCGCCAAGCAACAAACTGCTGATATGTGGAACGCCCTCATACCAAATCAACAGAAACCGTCTGTTATAGTGTCCTAGAGCCTTAACTACAACCAAATGTAAAACTTGATCTCAGGTCTAAAGGGAGAAGAGATTTGGAGATGTGTAGAAAAACTAACCATTTGCATTTTTTTTATTGTCAGTAAAAATGTGTGTCATTGTTAAAAACCGTGATATTCGTATCCTCTACACTGACCGATTTAAACCTTTACTGCACAATAAATATGTAAAAAGACATGAGACTCCTTGAATAACGTATGATTACTGACTCATATCACACTACAGCTATACTGAGCATCATACTTGTATAATGTATAATAATGTACTTATTCATATAGTGACCCTACATTTAAAAACATGAATTTCACTACAACAAGCAATGTGTGAGGTTCCAGACTGCAAGTTGTTTTTACAGTAAATTTTTAGGAAAATGCTGAATAGGTTTTGGATACATTACTGTGCAAAAGTCAGAGACCGCCTCCATTTATTTGATTTCCAGTCAAAATGACAGTAGAAGAGTACAAGATATACATTTTTCAGTGTCAAGAAAAAGCAGAAAAAAAAATTTAAGAGAAAATTACGCAGACACCTCAACAACAAAATATCATTTCAGGTTTTTGAAGAAATCTGCTGGCATATTTTTCCACACTTCCAAAGTTCCAAAGCTTAGAAGTTTCTACTTCTTACGATCCAGGTAATCCCAAACACATTCAGTGAAGAGGTCTTTGCTTTGGAGTGGCCAGTCCATTGTGCTGAGAACATCAGCAGCTTCTTAGATTTTCTTCTCGGATCTGAAGCAAGAGTGGAGCTTGATTTTCTCTTCTCTCAAAGGTGAAAGCTTTAAGCATTGTTTATCTGAAGGGGGCAGTTTTGGTGGTCCACCAGGTCTTGCATGGTTATTACAGGTCCCATCTAATGTTTTAGATACATGAGGTCACATGTCATCTAGCTGAAAGAACGCTACACAGCACATAAATACTACACATAAAATAAATATAAATAATTGCATAAACTAATTAAGAACAAACTATTCCAAGTTGAGGAAATTATTATTTTAATTCCATAATCATAAGAAATATTGAAAAAACAGCATGTGACAATGGAACTGCAATCCGCATTGCACACAGTAAGAGAAAACCAATACACTGCCGTTGGACATGGCCACATTAATGTTCTATGAACTGCATATGAAATCATGCAAAACATCCATATAAGCACAGAAAAGTATAAAAATAATGATAAAAAAATCCATTTGGAAAGTAAGCAACCACCCTGTGCACTGCAGATTGCAGTTCCATTGTCGCATGCTGTTGCCGTATGGCAACAATTATGTTTCATCATTTAATACAAATCCCTTAGCATCTAAAGTGGTTTCATTTATGAAAAAGATCTTGTAAGCATCCATTAATGTTGTTTAATATGTATAGTTAGTTAGTTAATTAATTGGTGAATAGTGATTGGGCATAAATATTGAATTAGAAACAGACGTTGACAGAGTTTAACAGCTAGGCCTCACTAGAGGTGCGCAATATGACTATATATGGTTTATTGTTATCACGATAAAAACTTTTCTGAGCATATTATGGTTATCATTGTTAGTTAAATTACTGACCAACTGCATGATTCATTACAAAGAGAGCATAATCAGCCCTGTTCAGATGGATTAGTTCAGCTCACTATGTCATACTGTTGAATTAAGATCATTGTTTTCAGTATTTTTAAAATGTAGCACTACTAGTTCTTTTAGTCTGTTCCAAACCAAATACTGAATATCATGATGCATATTTTGATGTTATATTTTTTCCATATCACCCATAACTAGGTCTCACTGTGATGTGTGTATGGAAAACAAAGCCTGCAATAGGAAGGAATATAATCATAAAAAAAGAAGCCTTCATGTTCCCAAAAGAACCCAGAAAGAAAATGTATACTGTATTCAAGCAGAGAAAAAATGAAAAGAAAGTACTTGTTGCCATATGGCAACACAATGCAGTACTGGGTTAAGCAGGTTTTCAAGTGCTAATCTGTGATCCAATGTCAGCGGCACCTAAAAGAGACCCCGAGTATGAGCACTGAGACTTCTTCTGCATCAGTTCTGCTTTCAGGGCTCGCAGCTCTGTGGCTGCCTGCTTCCTCAGCTAGAAATAATTTTGAAAAATCATAGCAAAAATTATATTTGGTTATACTCAAGAAAACTTGCATGTAGATAATTACTAATGAGTTACAGTGAATATTACATACCTTGATTTCTGTGGCAAGTTTCATTTTGGCATCATCCAGATTTTTCTTCAGATTATCTATTTCGCAACTCTCAGTCATAATCTGGATTATAAGATCGTTCTGTGAATGATAATCATGCACAACTCATTTTTAATGTACAGCACAGATCTCTCAACAGTCACAGTGTAACATTTTATTAGCCATAAAGTGGCTGTTTGTCTCCCTCTACTGAAAGGCAAGGTGGCCTTGTAGACAGCAAGTTGTAGAGCTGACCTTTGTGCTTGATGGCTTCCCTGCTCGTTTTTGTCTGTTCCTTCCATCTCGAGCTTGTAGTTGTTGAAACAGTTTGTCATAAAATGTCTCCAGTTCCTGTCGGAGACTTTTCAGAGTTTCCTCCAATGGTGCTGTGGTCTTCTTGGTGTCAAAATACTTTCTCTTCCACTTGTCCCGTGCTGGGTGGTTTGTGGTTTGGAGAGGAGGGGTGTAAAAGTATTTTTAGCTTAAGTCTCCCTTAAATTTAAATAAATATAAAATAAATATATATATTTGTCATGTTATGTATGTTATATGATATTTAGTAGGGCATCCCTCAGCCTCACTGTTTTAACATAATTCATGATTTTGTATTCTTTTTGTATTTACTCCATCAGTGTTCTTTCACTACAATACCCAGCATGCATTATGCAAATACACAGATCAGGCACAACATTATGACCACCTCCTTGTTTCTATGCTCTCGCTGCCCACAGGACGCTGTTGGCTGGATATTTTTGGTTGGTGGACTATTCTTAGTCCAGGAGTGACACTGAGGTGTTTAAAAACTCCAGCAGCACTGATGTGTCTGATCCACTCAGGCAGTCGTCACAGGCAGCGTCCTGTGGGCAGCGTCCTGTGACCACTGATGAAGGACTAGAGGATGACCAACACAAACTGTGCAGCAGCAGATGAGCTATCGTCTCTGACTTTACATCTACAAGGTGGACTGACAAGGTAGGAGTGTCTAAGAGAGTGGACAGTGAGTGGACACAGTGTTTAAAAACTCCAGCAGCACTGCTGTGTCTGATCCACTCAGACCAGCGCAACAAACACTAACACACCACCACCACATCAGTGTTACTGCAGTGCTGAGAATGATCCACCACCCAAATAGTACCTGCTCTGTGAGGGTCCATGGGGGTCCTGACCACTGAAAAACAGTGTAAAGTATGCAGAGAAACAGACGGACTACAGTCTGTATTTGTAGAACTACAAGGTGCACCTATATAGTAAGTGGAGCTGATAAAATGGACAATGAGCGTAGAAACAAAGAGGGGTTTATAATGTTATGCCTGATCAGTGCACCTCATACAGCCATTGGGAATCCCTTCCATGGCGATAAAGAAATGCCCAATGTACAGGCTAATATAAAAATACTCAACTATTAACACTCTTTGAGAGGGTTTAACAGCTAATGGCTTCACCAGGGAGTGGGCAACATGACAATATTTATTGTTATTACGATAAATTATGTCACAATATGCTTTGCTAAGATGTGATATTCACCCTCCTAGCAGCAACATTAGCTAAAAAAAACGATTCAAACAGTCCAGCCAGGATCCACCCCAAAGTGCTTGTATTTTTTTTTTACCTCCAACTCTTAAGATACATCATCAGAGGGGGATTTTTTAAGTTTCTTAATGGAAAAAAATCTAATTCATCATGAGACTGCTGTAGGAGGTGAGTTAGCATGTTTGCCACAGATGTAGCAGTGGTTACACCTTTAATTGTGGTTCCCCTTTAACACACTAGGTAGATACCTTGGTTCCTGCGGTGTCTGTTTAGAGCTAGCAGATCCTTGCCCTTTCTCAGAAGCTCTCGCCTTGTTCTTTCTAGCTGTTGTCTCTTCTCTTTGACCAGCTTGAGTTCCTTCAGCAGCTCATCCCCTACACAGAAACCAGATTCCTTTTTTTGTCATTTGTTAATGCACTGAAATTCACTGTCAAACACTGGTGATATTGGTGGTCTTACTGTTGGTTGAAGTTGCATTAGTTTTTTGCATATGTAGAGCCAGGGCAGGTGCACTGGGAGTTGCATCACACTCAACAGGAACTAGAGGTTCTGGTCTGCCCACATGTGCCTGCAGTGTAAAGAAAAAATGAAGGCCTGCAATAAAGCCTTTCATGACTGTTCATTGCACTCTGGACAGGAAAGCACCCCCCGCTGGCCATGGCATTTTAGACAGCCACTAAAGGTCAGAGTGTCTTTACAAGGAGGAGGCATTTACAAGCACAACACTTCCTATTTATGAGAGATCTTGAAGTATTCAGCTCATTTTAAGAATGCATTTCTGAATATTGCCATCTTGGGAAGCATTAATGTGGGCGTACAAAATTAATACCACATAACTTTATCAGGCAATCTGAAACTTTCTTACCTGATCATTTGGTTTCTTTCCAGTTGGCTTTAAAGTCTGAGACAGTTTGGATTTCCTAAATTAAAGAAAGTGGTAAGAATTTCTCTGAAGCAGTATAGCATTTTATACATTATGCACATTACAGACATGTTCATAGAATGTCTGTCAACCTAAACTCAAAATTGACCTTTTTTACCTTGGTAGAAGGAATTTTGTCAAACACCTCTATCCAGAGCAGCTTACAACTTAATCATTTAACATGGGTAGGCAAGGTAGTGAGGAGTCTTGCCCAAGGACTGCCCAGGTGAACGTGAACGCCAGTCTACAGCTTGGCAGGCAGAAGTGTTACCCAGACGGTTGCAGCATTTAATGCCTCTAAAAGCCCCCAATAGAAAGTTATTACAACAAATAGTTATAAATATACTGTCTGATGCCTGAGATATTGATTTACAGAAGTCTTTAGAGAAGGTTTTGGCTTAAAACATTTTTTAATTCATTAATGGTGGAGAGGTAGGCGCAGGGCATTGTCAGGCAAAATAGTCCGTAAAGAATCATTTCACAATCAAACCTCTGAATCACCTTACATCTCAATTGTTTATATCTCAGTGGTTGATTTATAATGAAAAACTGGTGGAATTCCCCTTTAAGCACAATTCATCATATTATTCCGTTGAAGAGACAAAATTCTTATTTTCCAGTGATCGTTGATCCAAATGTGTTGGCTTTTGCCTGCCTCTAAAACATCTACTGATTTTCAGTTATGTCATCATGGACCAGCAGAAAAAAGTAATATTAAAAGAGATGACATATGACATCGATAGGCCTATCAGGCAGATATCAGCAGAAATGGTGTATCAAAAAAAAAAAACCTGAATCTGATCCAATCCTGTAACACATCTAGCCTAAAATAGCACACACTGTGTAATGTGATATTGTTAGTTGTGTGATTCTTTCTGTGGGATAGTACAGTGTTTGAGTAGTTTGAGCATGATAGCCTACTTTTAGATGGTCATTTTAAGTGAAGTACCTCCATTACAAATAGCTAATTTCAAAAATTGTCATTTTTATGGAGGAAATACTGGATCAGTACTGGCCAATACTAAATTATGCTATCCCTAATTATTAACCAATGTCATGTTTCACATTCCTCTTCATCCACATCTACCTATCATCAAGCCAAAATGCAGGGCTATCTCAGAGACCCTGACTGATACTGTGTTTCACTGAGAAATATGTCTTTAAAACATTACCTTCCTTGCGAGAGGAAAAACCCAACATCTGGATCTTCCAGCGACTCTGGTACTCCTGAATCTCTGGTAAAGTTTCTTTTGTAACGTGTCTTTTTCTCAGTATTTTCCATTTTAGTCAGGCTCTGTTTAATGGGTAGCATTTCTGCAACTACAAAAATAAATAAATAAATACTTGCTGCTGTTTTGCTGTACTTGCAATTGTGTACTGTTTACCTATACAGGCCAATACAGTTTACAAATGGTTAATATCTTTTAAAATAGTTTTTATTCACTAATCAGTTGATTGATGTTGGGCATCCTTTGTTTTCCACCTATAGCTTTTGGATAAACAATTTAAAATATCCCACATAGAACTATGATAACTCAAAGCAACCTAATCTAACATGGCATCTGGAGTCATGACTACAAAGTTCTCATTTACAGCTGGTTTCTCACCGCTCTGCTTCGCCCTGAGCTCCCCTTGGACACTTCTGCACATATTATGAGTCTCGGTCCAAATGGGATCTTCGCATCCCACAGAGTCCTCCTCCTCCCTCTCCTCCAGAGAACTGGAGCTGTCCTCATCTTCCAGACTCTGGTCAAGGACAGACAGCTGGGGCCCTTGTTTGATTAGTGGAAATTTTGTAGGCTCTTTTGTCTGGCCAGGAGGGTAGCCTGTCTGAGAGTTAGTGTTGTAAATGGCCATGTCTGGGCTTAATGACCTGGAGCAAAGGCTACTGCCATGTTCTTCCAGCGGCAGCAGATAGAGCTCTGGGTAAGGGGACTGAATTATGAGAATGACAATGCTAAATAAACAGATGACTTCAGAACTGGCAGAACAGTATATCAAAATGAGCTCATTGGTGGCAAAAGTACTTACATAGGGTGGAGCAAAGGATTTCGCTTTCAAGTCTTTCTCTTGCATGGGTTTAACCTAAAATGTAAAGACCAAAACAATCAGACATGTTATTACCCCATTGATGTTCATATCTGAAGTGTGAAATTTTAAATGTGTTGGTCCAGATGTACTCTGAGCTTTCCTAAGCACAAATATAAGAACCTTTTGAATCAGTCAAATCATATGGATAAGAAGTGAGTTTTAATCACTTATTTTATTATATTTAAGTCAGTATTCAGGTCACGTGAGACTACAAAACAAAAGAATATGCAAATCAGATTGTGATGATTGTGAAGTACAAAATTGACATAGAAATGAATACAGCTATCAAATTGGACTGTTCAATGTTCATCTAAAGTGTAAATATACACATATAAACATTCGGCACTTTGGGCCGGTTAAAACAGGTTTTCATCATACAAAACTTAGTTCATAAGCCTGAAAGATTTTTTTAAAAGATTAATTTGGGCTACTCACCATTGCCAAGCTTCTACCAACACATTTTAAAAAGCAGCATCTGTCAGCGACCCTCTCTGGCCCGAGTAACGCTCCAAGTTCATCTCGTACAGCTTTCAAACTTGTGTCTGGATACACCCTAAAAGGCAGAACATGAGCTAGGAGATTTTTCAAAATTTCAGTAAAATTGAATTGTAAGGAAATGGAAACAAAGTCATTCAGAGTGGTTTGATGTGATGTGAGAAATGGACTGACTCATAATTCTTTACAGTGGTGGTGATGGGACCAATGGGTTGTGATCCCAAATAAATAGTAACCCTACATGTGTCCTCTGAGATATTAAATGTAATGTTGATTATGAAAAAAATGTATAAATCCAAAAAATACTGTTTTGTCCTATCCTGTACAGACCTCTTCAACATGATGAATGGACTGGGAATGAGGGGAAAAATGCAGTTTTAGGCTGAACGTTTATCTCAAAACTATTATAAAACAATGCATTTGTAACCATTTCTTGTACTAATGTTTTATAAGGTAGCTTTTAGTGCCCATGAATGTGTCTTTATATATCTGGTTCCTATCACTACCACTGAGAACAATTCTGAATCAGCAAAAAACACATCATTGAACATCACTGAGACAAAAAAAATTCAGTGGAATTCCCCTTTAACATATCTGCATTATTTCACCTATTCACATCCAACAAGTACATTTAGCATGATTTAGGAGAATGCTACTGAACTTATTCTGACTGGTCTGAAATGATGAAACTTTGCATAGAACATCTAAGCACCCAGTTGAATGTTCTGAGTAAATTTAGAGAATTTAACAGAATTACGATGTACTAAAGTGCTTTTCATTACATGTAAGTTTTATAATTTCACAACTCAGTGGTCTCATGCATCCAACAGACTAGATTTAAAGGGAAACTCCACCATTTGTTCAAAATTGATCAATTATTCAACACTTCAGATGTAAACGGAGTCATTCAGAGTGGTTTGATGTTAGGTGGTTCATTGTATAGAAACTATCATGAAAAAATGTCTCAGACATCAGACAGTGTATTCATAACCATCTCAGGTAACAACTTTCTGTTAGGGAGCTTTCGGGGGTGGATGTCTGGTTCCTATCACCACCACTGTGAACAGTTCTGACTCTGTTAGTTCCTCTAGAACAAAGCATTTCACACGAAACCACTCTGAATGAGTTTGTTTACATCTCAACCATTTAATTATGTGGAATTTTTGGAAACTCAGTGGAGTTTTCCTTTACCATGATAAGCACCCTGCTGAAAAAGGACCATTAGAAACTAGAAATTAGGATGAAAACCTAATGGTTTTGCTTTCTAATGAGAACTGGCTTAATGGGTTCCAATAGAGACCACTAGAGTCCTGTAGAATACCTTTAGATTCCATTTGGAAACCATCAGATGCATTTAAAATCAGGCATTGGTCATCTGTTTAACCATTAGGATCATTTCCATTGTGATATGGCTTCTATGGGTGTTTTCAGCAGGGTACTTCTATACATTAATGGCCTAATATGAAATCATAGTCTCCATGTACATGTCCTGCTCACCTGATGAAGCCTGCTGATATGAATCTGTCCACAGCTTCCACTGACACTGTGTTCAGTCTCGAGTTCCACAGCTCATCAGGCACAAGAAACACATGCAGCTCCACACACTGCTCACAGGGTCAGCAACAGCACAGAGACAGTAACGCACAAGCTGTGAGCGTCGTGTTCGACTGAATATCCCTGTGGAGGTTCTTTAACTACAGTCATTAAAATAAGCGTAATCTAATGTAAAGCATGACACGCACCTCTGAGGTTCCTGATCTCTCTCCAGCATAACAGCTCATCATGCTGTTTTCCCCTCCAGAGCTGGACAACTTACTCTCTTCAGGACAGTGGAGAGCTGTGTTTGGTCAGGCTGGCTGCAGGAACCCCTCTGAGCACTGCAGGCTGTGTTGAGGTGGGAGTGGGGAGACTGCTAAGTAACAATCTTGTGTACTCAAACTCAAACAGTCTCAGTCAACCTTACGGAGCCGAACCGTATTTAAAACACAGTAGGAATAGTAACAAAGGTTCAGCTACCAAATACTTGCTAAGATCCCCTCTAATAGGTTCTATTTTGGAGAAGAGCCCTTAAGAGCAGTGTCCATTTACTGTAAACCCTGCTGAAAAAAACAGCACACACCAAAATGAAATGCATGCTAGTCTGTGCTGGTTTAGCTGGTCACCCCAGCATGGTCATGCTGGATGACCAGCATACCAGTATGGTATTGGTTGTGATCAGCTTATCAGCTTCCATTTCTACTGACCAGCATATCAGCATCCAAAACACATCACTGTTGTCGGAACAAAACCTCCTATCTCTAAAATTATAACTTTACAGGAGAAGAAAAACACATGCTTTACTTTTAATGCAAGTCAATGGAACCAGACTTTTTTCCATCATTTGGGACCATTTCTTTTGGTCCATTCATCATGAAATTTACACACAATGTAAAGCACTTCAGGCATTTTCAAATTATGTCAAAAGTAGATTACATCACATTCATATGAGCTTAATAGACATCACATTCCAAAATCATGAGCATTAATATGGAGTTGGCCCCCCTTTGCAGCTGTAACAGCCTCCACTCTTCTGGGAAGGCTTTCCACAAAATTTTGGATTACGTTTCTGGGAAATTGTGTCCAGTCATGCTGGAACAGCAAAGAGCCTTTTCCACACTGCTGCCACAAAGCTATAAAGCATACAACCGTCTGAAATGTCTTTGTATAAATATAGCATTAACATTACCCTTCACTGCAACCAGGGGGCCCAAACCCTGAAAAACAGCCCAGACCATTATCCCTCCTTCACTAAACTTACTGTTGACACTATGCATGTCCAGTAGGTGGCATTCTCCTAGCAGCCTTGATTGTGAAACATCTCTTGTACAGCGTTATATAGGTGTTTGTGTTATTTAGGTCCCGCCCCCCAAAAAAACTGCAACAAGACAATGTAGGTACATGGCATATTTTAATATACATATATCCACTGTACAATTCTGCCATCCACTTTCCCGTGGCAGGTTTTGTGATCAGACTCTCAGACGGCCTCGCATTTCATCTATTCAAAAAATCTGCAGAAGGGCAGATTATCAGAAATGATAGTTGCTTTTTTTACAGAAATAGCAAAATGCAGTTCAAATACACAATCAGAAAGTTGTCATTTTCATGGTTCTCTCCATCCCCCACATATTCTCAGAGATGGAATTTTCTTCTGTTGGAGTCCATTTCATGACGCTGAAACACAAAAGGCAGCTTTAATTGATAAAAGAGCAAAAGATATCTAAAACTCTAGGATTCTAAATATCAGAAAAGAAAAACGAACAGCACAGTTTGAAAAACAGTCATAACCCAATTAAAGGTTTCAGAACTCACCTTGTGAACCCATTCATACTCCCCAAACTTCGAGTCAAATGTCCCTTTCTGCAGGGAGCGTAACTTCAGGGTGAAACGAGGTCCTAGTTCCTGAATGCCTACTCTCTTTTCATTCTTGAAGATGTATCTATGCGAGAGACCAAATACAATCAGAGTACAATAAACTACTCATTTAACTGGATAAACTGTTTCAATAATATAAAAGACAAGAAAAGAATACCGACAATCATCACTTTCCTTTATTAGAATTTAAGAAAGTCTATGCTTTTCAGTCCCACGATTTCTTTAAATGATGACGGACTGTGATGGGAAAACACTGGAATATTCCTACACACTGATTACAGCACTGATGTAAGTAAAAGTGTCAATACCTGTGAAACCTGAAGAAGATGAAGTCTCGCTGGTTGTGAAAAGTGGCAACCTGACGACCCTCAAACTGTGGATCGTGAGGAAACAACGCGGCAAACAAGCGGCCGATGCTGTGGCCCAGTCTAGTGGTGAAGTTGTTCAGAATGACCTCTGGGTAGTGCTCGGTTGGGTCTTTCCCTTTCCTCTGCATTACAGCAAATGAGAATTTAAATAAAAGGACATTACAATGAATACAATGCATGTTACCACAAACTTTACAAACTTCATATATAATAAAAGGAACCACTGAACTCAAACAAACCTTCATTTCTTTGCGAAGTCGAACACTGCTGACTTTGAAATGCGCAGTTGGTCCATCAGGAAGGTGACACAGAATCATACCGTCTTTGAGAATCGTGAGTTAAGGAGTACTACCATGTGTCCCCTTTTCATGCACAGCACTGTATAACAAAAACTACACAAAATAAGCAGGTAGAGATGTTTTCTCAATGAAAAGTAAAGAGCAATACTGAACAGTACAGGTTACATAAAATTCCCAAATGAAGGATACTTGGCACTTTTCGATCCTCGTTAATGACCAAGAGGTATGTGAAGTCTCGTGATATGCACTGAGGAATGATCCTCTTCAGCGCAAGACCTCTTCTGTAGTACACATGCGCATTTGGTATTACTGACGCTAACTGCTCACAAAACCGGACAGTTCTCTATAAAAAACACAGAAAAACAAACAAGTAAACAAGCAATCTACACATTGTAATATAGCCTGTGCAAAAATGTGTCCACTATAAAGGGATTTTTGAGTGAAGACTCAAAACCTTATCTTTCTATGCATTACATAAAAACATCTCAACCAACGGGCCCTCAAAAGGCAAAAGCATTTCTCCCCATGAATAATGAGCTTGCCTCAACACTTGTTTCTTGATTACACAGTGTTCCACGTACACTAGATGTTCTCAATCAGCAAAGAGATGTTTGATGTCCAAATTTTAAAGTTTAGCGCTGGGGCTTTGAGGCTGAAGTTGCTAACAAACACTAGAAGACAAGAGTCACTCAAATTTTAGGTGATACAGATTATGTGTTTACAACTTCTGTTGTTTCTTTATGAAAATAACTGTTAATCTTGAAGTTTCAAGCTGACGTTTCAACAGAAATCATAACTAATCTGTTCCTTCCGCAGGCCTGCTTGACATGCACGTGACAAAGGGAAGTCAGAATTTTCCACAACACTTGTTGTCTAAAATCACCATTTTGATTTATCACTGAACCATTTCTTTAAGCATTGACTGCTGCAGAGATGGCTACGGCAACCAGAAAAATTCTGCAAGAATGCCACAGTTGTGGAAACTAAAGTTACTAAGCAACAAGTCTACCATCACAGTGGAACAGAGTATTTAACTGTTTTTGCTCATTTGTTGATACATCTTCATAAAAATGGAAAATCGACCAAAGTAATCAGTGTCTCTGAAAGAAAATTACTGAACGAATAATGTTGTTATCTAGTGTAAATAAAATTCTCATTGAATTGATTAAGTATCATGTTATAGCAGCTACAGCAAACTGATGTTCCTGTCATCGCAGAACAGCATGCTGCGGAAGCAGGAAGGAGCAAATCACATGCATGGGTTTTTTTTCTAGTTACCCTTGTTGCACTAAGTTCCTATTATGATGACGTAATACAATGCACTTACTCCTCTTGGTCTGTCTGATGTGGTGATGAGAACCTTGGGGTTTATCAGTTTGTTGAAATAAGCTGAGAATTCATCTGTCCCTTCATCATAAGCCACCTGTATTCCAAACAAACATATTAACATAATTACTATCACAGGGAAAAAAAAATACAAAATCAGTTTTTATTTACCATCATCTCTAGTACGGTATTCATACCTCCTCGTCCTCTGGGTCTACTGTCGTCTCATCATACACTCTCTGGTTTTCAATTGTCTTCGGAACTTCTTTCGGTGGTGCCTGTAGACATCACAAGCACAGAGCATGTGTGCAGAACAATTAACTTTTTTTGGAACATGTCAGCCAACAAGTAAGTGAGCAAGAACACTAAGAAATAAACACTCACATACCTTGTCACCAAGTGCTTCTCGCTCTTTTCTTCTTTTTTTCCTCAGTTCCAGTTTTTGCTGGAGTAGGGGAAAAATGGTTGTAGTGTTAACTGGTTACATTCAGTTTTATATATTAAACTACACCATTACTGGCTGGATTTGTACCCATCCATCACAACATATCTGAACTTGCTTAATTTATTTTAGGTAAGGTCATTCTTAATTTAAAGTCATTTGAGGACGTCCACAGGACTTTTCTTTTTTTAATGTGACTTTACCACTAGTTAGACTTGAGGGGGAATGGGGTGGTGAGCTTACTTTTTTCCCTTTTATGATTAGTGAAAACTAATATGTGCTGTACACAAAATTAACTGTAAACAAGCAAAAATTCTAAATTCTACTTTTATTACAAGAAAAATTATTTTCTAGTATTTGGTAGTTCACATTCAGTTCTCATTGTTAAGAACATGTCTTTTCTAAAATCATTTTAAATCTGAGGAATAACTTTTACTAATATGACTTCCATGTTAACGTAGTAATTCAGTGCTAACAAAAAAATTAAAAATTGACATTAATACTCTAATTATATGTTCAAATGGACTTTTTTGTAGTACAAATTTAACTATAAACATACTTCTAATAGGTAAAATACATTCTATTAATATATGCAAGAATTTTAAGTTAAATCTTTTCTCTTATCTTATTAAATCTTAGAAAAACTAAATATCCAAATTCCAACAAACCACCAACTCATCAGGTGACTGTCGGGTCTCTCAGGGGCAAATTATGCTGTGTTTGAAAGAAAAAAAAAAAACTGTGCAGCGCTCTGAGCCAGAAAAGTAAAGAAAGCAATAAAGCAGCAGTTCCTAAAGTTAGTGGGTCCCCTCATATTCTCTGCATGCCTCCTCCCTTGCTCTAACACAGCTGGGCCAGCAGATGATGCTTGTTAACTAGTAAATTAACTTGAATCAGTTGTGTCAGAGGAGGGGAAAACACAAAATTATGCACTGTGGTTGGATGGGTCCAGAACCACACAGAACCATACTAAACAGTATGTCAATATAGTACACCGTAGGGCATTCAACATAGTATGTACAGTACTGTAGTATGGTATGTTACAGTACTGTAGTATAGTATGTATGATACAGTAGTATAGTATGTTACAGTACTGTAGTATAGTATGTTACAGTACTGTAGTATAGTATGTATGGTACTGTAGTATAGTATGTACAGTACTGTAGAATAGTATGTTACAGTACTGTAGTATAGGATGTACGGTACTGTAGTATAGTATGTACGGTACTGTAGTATAGTATGTACGGTTCTGTAGTATGGTATGTACAGTACTGTAGTATGGTATGTTACAGTACTGTAGTATAGGATGTACGGTACTGTAGTATAGTATGTACGGTTCTGTAGTATGGTATGTACAGTACTGTAGTATGGTATGTTACAGTACTGTAGTATAGGATGTACGGTACTGTAGTATAGTACGTACGGTTCTGTAGTATGGTATGTACAGTACTGTAGTATGGTATGTTACAGTACTGTAGTATAGTATGTGCAGTACTGTAATATACGGTTTGGGACGTAGACAAGAAGCATTATGTACCGCTTCATTAGCTGACACTATTTACCGTTTTCCCTTCTTGTGTTTCTGTACAGTTACCTTGCGTTTCTCCTGCTTCAGCTTCATGAACATGAGCTGTCTGCGCTGTTTGTTCTTTATCTCAGACAGGCTGAAAGTGGGAGGCAGTGCAGGTCGTGAAGATGAGGTCTCCGCACATTCAGACTCCGGACCCTTATCTTCTGTTTCCTCCGCGCGTTTTTGTTTCTTCTTTTCTTTTTTAACTTTACATTTCTTACTGGGTACATCCTCAGAGACTGGCACCTCAACAAAATCCATTTTTAAGATGTTATGAACAACTTGCCGGAGTTCACGTGTGTTTTTGAGAAACGCTTTTAGCCGGAAATCAAGAGGCGGATATTGCTTGTGTGTTTGTCTCCTTGCCCCCCCTAGCGGCAAGGAGGACTTCAGGCCTAAATCTGCACCTCTCATCATAAAAATCATATTTATACGGTTTTACACTTTCCATAGATGTGAACGACCTGCCAAGGACATGTTTGGTGTCCGTCCAAATTTTGCGTATTTATTTCATATATATATCTCGTTGTTGTCGGAAGAAACCTTAAAATAACATATATTACATCAACAGCATTGTTGCACATAGCCTTGCAGTCTCCATAGACAAACATAGGCAGTACAATGGGTTGTACTGAAGAGCTCAGTGACTTTAAACATGGCACTGTCATAGGATGCCATATATATATATATATATATATATATTGTTGTTGGAAGAAAACTTTGTATGTCCATCTTTGTCACTTTTCAGTTTTTGACATAATTTGAAAATGCCTGTTGCCCTTTACATTGTGTGTAAATTTCATGGTGAATGGACCAACAGAAACAGCCCAAAATTACTTGGAAAAAAGTCTGGTTACATTGACTTACATTAAAAGTAAAGTATGCTTTTTCCCTTCTCCTGTAAAGTTATCATTTTGGAGATTTGAGGTTTTGTTCCGACAGCAGCGATATATATATATATATATATATATATATATATATATATATATATATATATATACATACATACATCATACATACATATATATATACACACACAGGGCCATAACTAGGATCAAATACTAAACCTTACTAAAATTTTTATCCTAGTTATGGCCCTGATTGAAAATAAAGATAAGTAAAGTTGATCTTCTCAAAAAAGGCCCATTACCAATTATAAAAGTTCTAGGAAAACTTTTAATCGGTATAGAACCTTTACACCAGGTTCTTCACACTCACACATTTCAGTTACAGAAGTGCTTTTTTTAAAGAACTTTCCATTGAAAGATTTGAAACCAAAAGTGGTCTTTCTAATGTACCGTGACAAAGAACTCTTTGGCACCTTTATTTTTAAGAGTGTTTAACTATTAATGTGGTTTTCTCATTCACTCACTATAAGAAAAAGATTCCTTGAAGTTAGCTTAACCTTTTAAAATCCTGGGCTTATGACATACTGAAGCTTATTATTCAGTTACTACAGGGATGTCAATGCAAACTGGTGAAGCGATTCTTAGGTTTGAGAGTTGTGTAATAAAACTTTGAGCCCGCCAGCGGGCCCTGGCCATTTAAGTTTTCTTGTCCCATTACATCTTCACACAGTAAATGTGCTTCTAACAGCTTTTAAACCAGGCCACAGCCTGGCGGAAGGCTTTGTAGACGGCTGGATTTTGTGAACAGATAAGGCCACCACCTCTAAAAGCCTGTGTGCTCTCTCTGTTCAGGTCCCCCAGACAAGTCCATTGAGCTTTATATTCCAGGGAAACACACCACTTGGCGTGATCGTCATAGGAGCTGAAAGTGACGTTCTCTGGTAGACGGACCCACTTGATGTTCATGACATGGAACGGAAGTGAGCAGTTGGAAGGGAGCTGGTGAGCCTCCCGTTGCCACGTTTCCACCAGCAGGTCAGTCTTCAGTGTCTGTGCTATCCAGCCTGTGTAAATGTCTGATAGACAACACACAGAAGACGACTACAGTCAGAAGAACATCCAGGACAGACAAAGGCAGCAGATAAAACAATTCTCAAAAGTTACACAATGATCTGGTATGTTTTAATATGATTATAAATATGCATTTTACATTTATATCTGCTAATGTATTTGATCTGCTGCATGCATGTGTGACTCCAGTTACTGCCGAAACCTGGATTATAAACCACACAAAAATAATGAGTGCATTAAATTTACTTGATTCAAATATGCATTATTTCCACATGAATAAAATACATCAGCAACATTGTTGTCAAAATTTTGTAAACTGAATGATAAGATTGCATTGATTTAATATACATACATCACATAGACAAAAGTATTGTTCAGGTGTTTCAGCCACACCCAGGGCTAACAGGTGGATAAAATGAACCACAGAGCCTTGCAGGCTCAATAGACAAACACTGGCAGTAGAATGGGTCAAATCGATTAGCTCAGTGACTTTAAACATGGTACATTCATAGGATGCCACCTCTGCCTCAAGTCAGCTTGTGGAATTTCTGTCCTGCTAGATCTGCTCCTGTCAACTGTAAATGCTATTATTGTGAAATGGAAGCATCTAGGTGCAACAACAGCTTAGCTACTAAGCAGTAGATGCATAATGCCTATCCTCTGTTGAATCACTTACTAACAGGTTCCGAATTGCCTCTGGAAACAACATCAGCAAAAGAGCTGTACATCAGGAGCTTCGTGAAATGGGTTTCCATGGCCGAGCAGCTACACACAAGCCTAAGATCAAAATACACAATGCCAAACGGGGGGTGGCGGGGGTGTAAAACATGCCACCACTGGACTCTGGAGCGGTGGAAATGCATTCTGTGGAGTGACGGATCACGCTTCTCTATCTGGCAGTCTGAGGGACAAGTATGGGTTTGGCGAATGCCAGGAAAATGTTACCTGCCTGACTGCATTGTGGCAACTATAAAGTTTGGTGGAGGAGGGATGATGCTATGAAGTTGTTTTTTCAGGGGTTGGTCTAGGCCCCTTAGTTCCAGTGAAGGGAAATCTTAATGCTTCAGCATACCAAGACATTTCCATGGACAGTTCTATGCTTCTAACTTTGTGGGAACAGTTTGGGGAAGTTCCAGCATGACTGAGCCCCAGTGCACAAGACAAGGTCCTTGAAGGCATGGCTGGGTGAGTTTGGTGTGGAAGAACTTGATTGGCCCGCATATAGCCCTGACCTCAACCCCATCAAACACCTTTGGGATGAATTAGAATGGAGATGCGAGCGAGGTGCTCTCGTCCAACATCGTCTGAGCTCACAAATGCTCTTCTGGATGAATGGGCAAAAATTCCCAAAGACACACTGCAAGATATTACACCCTCAGTTCTTTTCAGGAGACTTGCCTTCAGTTTTTCAAAGCAATCTGCAGGGCGATTCCTCCACACCTCTAAAGTTCAGTCTTAGAAGTTGGTTGCACTTTCTGCTTCTCGCAATCCAAGTAATGCAATTAGAAATTTAGATTAATCAGTCCATAAAACTTTATTCTGCATCTCTGATATCCAGTTTCTGTGTTTTTGTACAGTGTTTCCTCCTGGTAATGAAGGTGCCCTGTTCTGCAGGTTTCCGTGCTTTCCCTGCTCCCAACACACCTGATCCAACGAATCAGCTCATTAACAACCCCTTTCTGAGTAGAAGTGGGGAGGTTAAAGCAAGGATACTCTAAAATACGCAGGGCAGTGGGCCTTCAGGTCCAGGGTTTGAAAACACTGTTCTAGTGCCATTTTTTTCAGTAACAGCTTCTTGTCTAGTGTCGAGTTGTCTTTTTACAGCAGAAGGATGGACAGAAACACCTGTACATTTTTTCAGATCTGAAGCAGATTTATTTTCTCCTCTCTCTCAAAGACTAAAGTATTAAGCGCTGTTAATCTGATGGGGACAGTTCTGGTGGTCCACAAGGTCTTGAATTGCTGTTGGGAATTCCATTTTTCTGTATCTTTAAATCATTTTTTAACTCCTTTGTTTTTTCCCTTCACTACGCAGGTGGATTATCTAATATCTAATCTCCTCAGAAATATCTCCTGAAAAATGAATAACTTATACCTAATAGCTGTTTTGACTGGAAATTAAACCACAGAGAGCGGTTTCTGACTTTTGCACAGCACTGTACATCAACACAGTAATTGTCAAAAGTAAGTCAACTGAATGACAAAACTGTGTTTAATTTATGAGGAAATGATGCACACAGTTGAATCCATTGAATCCAATACATTCAATGCATCACTTTTTTCAGTGTAATACTAAAAATATTACAAATGCATGACATACGCATAATAAAACATGGTTTTCTGCACGTTTCAAAGCTTTACATCTGTTACAAAAGCAATGTCAACAGTTACTCAAGAACAGAACTGTACTTTGGCATAACCAAAAGTCAACAAGTGCCTGTGTGTCTGCCCAACGAACACATAATGTGCTTGTGTATTACCTTAAAGCACTACAGAACACTTAAACATTCTTACCATCAACGTAGCTGTGTGATTTGGCAAAACTGAGGAAAATCTCTCCCTGAACTGACTCCAGCTTCTCCAGCTTTCTCCTGGGGGCTACGGTTGGGGTCTTGCCAGCACAGATCTGTGCCATGGCTGCCATGTCTGTGTCATATGCTGCCGGCACTGAGCAGTTATATACACGGGGATTGATGTACGCCAGTTGTTGTGCTGTTACAAACAAGAAATTCAGAGTCAGGTTATACACATCAGAGCCTTCCATTCATTCATGCCCTTCATTTAACATCCCAGGCGCAAATAAATGATTAGTATGTACCACTAAGTATGATAGATAGATAGATAGATAGATAGATAGATAGATACCCAGTTTCCCACTGTTGTGACAGCAGGAAAATGTAAATAAAATTAGACAGCAATGATATGCAAATCTATTATGACCTGTTGTTATTTAATGTTTCAACCAATTAACTTCTTAATATTGTTTTGTACGTGTACGTTTATTCTACCTTTGACACCTACAACATGTCCCCAGAAAGTTGTGAGAGGAGGATGTTTACCACTGTGTCATTCCCTTTAACAATATTCAGTAATCATTTGGGAACACCAACTGTTGTAGTTGTGAAAGTGGAATTTTGTTGCTTGATATAACACTTCAGCTGCTCAACAGTCCAGGGTTGTTGTTGTTCATTGCGCTTCATAATGTGCCACACATTTTTAATGAGAGACAGGTTCGGACTGCAGGCAGGCCAGTCTGGCACCTGCACTCTCTTACTATGAAGCGATGCTGATGTAATACGTGCAGAATGTGGCTTGGCATTGTCTTGCTTAAACAACCATAGATGTCCCTGAAAAAGACTTTGTCTGGATGGCAGCATATGTTGCTCCAAATGATTGCTTCGTATGTACCCCTCAGCATCAATGGGCCTTCATAGCTGTGCATGTTACCCATGTCTTTTAATAGTGTTATGGACTGTAGATGGTGAAATGCCTAAATTCTGTGCATTGAGAAATATTGGACCTCATTCACCAATATCTTCTTAAGTTTTTTCTTAACTTTGTTCTTAAGAAAGGTCTTAAGAAAAAGTGTCCATCAGATTCATGACGTTCTAAAACCGCAGAATTGTTCGCACCTTTGTACTTTTGAGTTTGCATTCTTCTTAAACTGTTGGACCTATTTACTTGACAGAGCTTTGGCCTTGTGCCAGGGATCACTATCCTGCTGAAAGGTGAGGTTTTCTTCAAGCTTTAGTTTTTATAAGACTAAAGCAGGTTGTCTTGCAGTATTTCCCTGTATTTTGCACCATCTAACCATCCTTCAATTTTAACAAAAAGCCCAAACCTTGCTAAGGAAGAGCATCCTCACAACATAATGCTGTCAGCCCCATATCTCACTGTTAGGGTGGCGTCTGCTGAGGAATGAGCAGTGTTAGGTTTGTGCCTCACATAGCATTTTGAAATTGAAATTTTGAAAAAAAGCTCCATTTTTGTCTCATCTGAGCACAAAACTTTATCCCACATTTAAGCTACGTCCAGACGTGCTTTTTGTTGTTTTATATATATATATATATACAGTAGACACACATAGTTAGTTAAATAGATAGATAGACAGACAGACAGATATGTTTGTTTGTTTGCTTACATATTTTTTGGAATTGTTTGTAGCTGTAGGTTGTACACTGAACAGTCTGCCCGAAGAGTTTACCGGTGGAAGGGTAGCCAAAACCCATTTCAGGGAAGGGAGGAAAGTGTGGAACACTGTGTGTTAGCCAGAATCCTTGAGACCGGTCAAACAGCAGTGCCCCTACAGAGCACACAATACAGTCATATGTGACATCATTCAGTATTAAACAACAATGGTTTGGCAAAGTCACTGTTAATTCAATTTTAATGACATCTGTTAACTTCACATGGCAGCAGATCTTTTGACCAACTTTGATCTAAACTGCAATCTTTAACATCAATATGGATAAAACAAAGAAACAAAGCAAAACACAGTGATGCAGATTTTTACCAAAATGCAGTTTTGTTGATGGCAGCCTGCTTTTATATGCTAAATAGAAATATTAGCTGAGGAAAATATTCACATTCCCAAATGTCTGCTTCTCTATTACTATTAGGCCCTCTGCACCTCTGCACCTGAACTTTATCTGATATGCTGAAAAAATCAAAGAGTGAAATCAATGCTCAGTCAACAGCACATTTCAGTTATCAGCTATGCTCTTTGCACTAGACTAACCTTCTTTGAAAGCAACAACACATTTAACAATCATCTTCCAAAAAGTAGTACTGTTGTTTATTCTTACATGAACAGAACACACTGTAAATACTGAAGTTTATGCTTACAATTGTGGAAGGTTAATCTCTACATGCAGATTTAGTATTTGCAAGCGCACAAAATGTTGCAAAAGTACCTTTTGTGTGTCCGTAATTATTCTTGTACTTCAGTACTGGAGGAGCGTCGTTGTAGAGCATGTATGCAGAACTGTTTGACTTTAAAAAAATGATGATTGCTTATTAATATACACGAAACATATTCAGGGCCGGTTTCCCAGACCCGTACTACGCCCAAACCTGGACTTATAAGTATTTCCAATGGAAATTCTCTACTGACACTGAAATTCATTTTAAGGTTAGGCTTAATCCAAGTCTGGGAAGCTGGCACGTAATGAACTAAATATATCATAGAATATTTCTCAAAATCTAATTTCATATAAGCATTTATCATATATAATCTATCAGAAATAAAACAAAGAAAAAATGCTGCACATAACACTGCATTTGTACAAACCCACTTCCAAAAAGCTATGACAGTATGCCAGTAAAAACAGAAGGCAGTGATTAGTAAATTCTGTAATTCTGTATTAAATTGAAAACAGTACAAATATATGATGTTTGGTGTTTTACCTTATTAACTTTTTTTCTTGTAAATATGTGCCAATTGCAAATGTGATGCCTGCAACACATTCCAAAAAAGGTGGTACAGGAGCATGTTTACCACTGTGTTACATCACCTTTCCTTTTTCACAGCACTTGATAAACATTTGGGCACTGAAGACACCAACTGATCCAGTTTTAAAAGTGAATTTTTTTTTACCATTTTTCAGTCATACAAGTTGTCAGCTGTGCAATCCATACAGGCCTTCATTGTTGTATTTTGCTTTTCATAATACACCACACATTTTCAGTAGGAGGCAGGCAGGCAAGTCCAGCACCTGCCCTCTCTGATTACACAGCCATGCTATTGTAACACATGGAACGCTTCTTGGCTTTGTCATGTTGAAATAAGCATGGGCGTCCCTGAAAAAGATGTCATCTAAAAGGCAGCACATGTTGCTCCAAAATATGTTTATATCTTTCAGGTTAATGGTGCCTTCACCGATGTGCAGGTTACTTACTAATACCCCCCATAGCATGATTATGAACTTTACGCTGGTAACAAACAGGATGGTTCTTTACTTCTTTGGCCCAGAGACCATGATGTCCGTTTTTTCCATAAACAACTGAAAAAAGGGGGCATTAGCCCACAATATACGTTTCGACTGTGCATCAGTCCATTTCAGATGAGCTCAAGTCCAGAGAAGTGTCGGCAGCGTTTCTAGATGTTGTGTACACGTGGCTTCCATATTGAATAGTACAGTCTTCATTGCATTTATAGAAGCAGCGATGAACACTATTCATTGACAACGCTGTCAAAGTCTTTCTGAGCTCATGCTGTGATATCTATCACAGGAGCATGCTGGTTTTTAATGCTGTTCCATCCGAGGGGTCGAATGTCACAGGCATTCAGTTATAGTTTTTGGCCATGCTTTTTTCACCAGACATTTACGTATTTCATGAAGCTTTTGATAATGTTATGCACCATAAAGAGCAAAAATACCTGCAAACTCTTGTTGAGGAACATTGTTTGAAACAGTTCTAGTGTTTTTTGCATTTTTTTTGTGGTGAGCCTCGACCCATCCTTGCTCATAAAGGACTTGGCCTTTCCCAGATGCTCCTTTTATACCCAAGCATGACTACATCACCTGTTTAAGGTGTTTTCTGAAAATGTAACAATGTTTCTTGTCTTAAATTGCCTGTCCATGATTGTGTTGCTGGCATCAGCTTCAGAATGAGCGTATATTTACAAAAAACAATGAAGTTAATAGATAAAATAAACATTACATATCATGGCTTTCAGTTGAAACAGGTCAAAACGGATTACTAATCTCTGCAATTTGTTTTTATTTGCATTTCATTTACTTTCCCATCTTTTTTGTGATTGGTTTGTAAATATCTTAACCAATCATAATCACAATATTAAGAAGTGCACTGACCATGCAAGAACTATAGGGCTTTATGCAAATAGTGCTTCAGCAAATTATTTAAACACATGATTTCGATGAACAGATTTCTTTACAGGAATGGTTCACAGAAAAATAAAACCCCAAACTTACCCCAACTAGTTGACCGGTCAGGACATATTTGGTGTCTGAAGTTATGAAGAGCTATGAGGCCAGTGTAAAAGATTTTGAGTGACATTGACTTCTATAACTTCATAGCTATATTAGGCTTGAAGTTCCACAGCATAACTAAAGAAGCAAATGTCAGATACCAAACTTATCTTGGCTGATCAACTATATTTGGGGTGAAGTACGGAAGACCAGGGAGGCCATAAGGTAGTTATAATTTTCTGGACTGTTATCTTGAGATAACGAGTTAATTATGTTTTTTATCTGGAGATAACAAAAGTTGTTATCTGAGGTAACAAGTAGTTATACTATTATGTCAAGATAATAAAGTTGTTGACTTGAAATATCAAGTTAGTTATCTTGTTATCTCAAGATAACAAAAGTTGCTATCTTGAGATAATGCGTTAATTATCTTGCTATCTCTAGATAACAAAGCTGTTATTTTGAAATAATGACTTAGTTATCTTGAAATAACAATTGTTATCTTGAGATAACGAGTTAATTATCTTGTGATCACAAGATATCTAAGTTGTTATCTGATGGATGATTGTCTGTCGAGCTCTCCTGCTACCTGCTTCAGACCAGTTGCCCACGCCCCAGTCACCGCCACTTGCCCAGCTACCGCCACCTGCCTTGGACTAGCTTCCCACCCTACACTGAAGTGGACTCCTAACTATTACTACTACTACTATTAATATTAGTAGTATAATGATTTTGTAGGTAGTTTGACCAGAGGAGGATGGGTCCCCCCTTGTGAGCCTTGGTTCCTCCCAAGGTTTCTTCCCCAGCTCTGAGGGAGTTTTTCCTTGCCACTGTCGCCACTGGCTTGCTCACCTGGAGGATTTACATTTCATGTTATATCTTTGTCCTTAATTGGATTTCTGTGAAGCTGCTTTGTGACATCAGTTGTAAAAAACGCTATACAAATAAATTTGACTTGACTTGACTTATCTTGAGATCTCAAGATAACAATACAGAAAATTATAGCAACAACTCAAGGCCTCTCCAGACTTCTGTAGTAAAAAGAAAATTGTGTAAATTAAATTTTTTGGTGAACTACTCCCTCAACTACACAAGCAGCAGCAAAACAGACAATCAAGGCACAGGTTCATACCTCATATCTGTGGTAGAGCTGGCTCAGTGTTCTACCCACTGCCCCTTCACTCATGTTCACCGCATATCTACTTAACTGCCAGTTCAGCATAGAAGGATCCAAATACATGTAATCAACTCCACTTCCCACCTCACCCTTCTTATATTTGGGCATCTTGTACATCATGAACCTGATATCATAGAGAAAATGATGAATACATACAAAAATATCAGCAACTTTTCTGCACAGCTCTACCAGATCAAACGTTAGCTCTGGAAACGTTAGTTTAAAGATCATCTACCAGTCCACAGGCTTTCCTTCTTCATTTAAGCAGGTTAGGTTTGCCTCGCACAGATAACCTGAGGGGAACAGGTGAAGGAAAATCGAACAGAAACACCAGAACAGAAGCATTCTTCCTCCCGACTGAAAACTGCTATGGACGTGACGAAAAAAGAACTAGCATGTTGTTGAGTGCTCCGTGGCTTCCTCATGATCTGGTGACTGTAAAACTACGTATGAGCAGCTGTGTGCGTGTGAAAGGGGAAGTTTGGGGTGCTTTGTCTTATGACTCCCAACATGGCAGCTATGAGGGAAAAAAGGAACTTTCTTCAGCTCTGCAGAGGCTTCAGCCCTTAAAAGTTCTGGGTGAGTGATTAGAAACTATTTAAAGTTTTTATTTTTAGCTGTTTAGCTCCATTTACTCCCATTCACTGAGGACTCGCTCAACTCTCTGGAGTTTTGCAGTCATGTTTTTGATATAACGGTGGAAATAGGAAGAGGCCAGGCTCCTCATAAACTGGCCCTGCACTCACTCAGAACTGAGAACTGACTGACTTCAGACAAGAGTCAGAATATACCCAGAGAACTGCTGTCTAACTGCTGTAGAACAGATAACCTAGAATAAACATGTACACATTTCTTGAACATGTTATACTATATTTAACAGAAAATTCCACAGAAGCCTCAACAAATAAATAAATATAACCTTTGTCAGCACTTAGTGTGGCCACCCTTCGCCTTTATTACAAACTTTAGTAGATATGCGTTCAGTTTTTCCAAGAAATCCGCAGGGATTTTCCATTTTCTGTTTCTCTTGATTCAAGTAATCTCAAATACATTCAGTGATTTTGAAGCAGGGATGGATTACTGGCCAGGCCAACAGAGCCCATAACCAGGGGCCTCTAACTGCCAGGGGCCTGGAGAAGCCTTAGGCCACAAAGCTGGACATGGTTCAGATTGGGGACTATCCACTGCAAATGAAAAAATGAATTAAATGCCTTGAATATGTAATGACTAAATAAATGAAATAAAGGTACCTTAGCCCACACCCTGCCACTGCATGTAAATAACTAAAAACCCCAAACACTAATAATGTGCAAAAAATGCTATTGTGCATTAAATGAGAATGAAACATTTTGTTTGTACATAATTTTTCCAGTGCTGTTCAAACATGAAAAAACACAAGTTATTTATTAAAGTTATTTTTCAGATCTATTTTTCAATTATTTAAGGTGATACCGTCAGAGTTGAGGAGGGCTCAAAAGATGCACAGTGGCCTCATTCACCATAATCAGTCCCAGTGTTGAGGTCTGGACTCCATTATTTTGAGAACACCAGCAGCTTCTTTATTTGATTTACAATTTTCCTTTTCTCAGTAAGACAGCTACACATCCTTTCAGACTCATAGTGTTGAGTTGTCTTATTGCAGTGGAAAGATGGACAGAAACACCTGTGGATTTTTTCAGATCTCATGCAAGAGTGGGGCTTGATTTTCTCCTCTCTCTCAAAGAGGAAAGTGCTGTTTATCTGACATACAGTAATCCTTGTTTCAAACAAGTTCATCCCTTGACATGAACGTGACCATTTGGACCCATTGCGAAACCCACATTACGCAGGCGATGCCACCCCCCAATATAATCCCCTGTCCCCACGAGGTCCCACTCCTGGTGAAGAATCAGAGAGTAAAGGCACCAGATTCTGAGCACTTATTTGAAAAATATGGCTACCTCAAACCAGGTATGGACTTCATTCTCAATGAAGAATGAAGAATTTAGGCTGTTATCAAACCTGCATAATGTCTTTCTATATGTAATGTATTTTTTTTTTTATTGAGCACTTTAATCAGAAAAGTGTCTTCTGTGTAGAATGTGGAGTTTGTGAGGACAGGTTATGGGAAGAATCTGGTGAAGGTAATGTATGTACGGCGGGAGGGGATGCACCACTACATAATCGAGATGAAAGCAAACGTCCAGCTGACACTGAACTCTCGCAAGGACTACGTGAACGGAGACAACTCGGACATCATTCCTACCGACACCATCAAGAACACTGTCCATGCTTTGGCAAAGCTAAAGGGGGTAGGTGCAAAACTCGGAGGGGAAAGTCATCGGTCATTAATGAACTTGTGTAGCCTAAGAGTTTATCTAGTACCTTCTCTAATCTGTAATAATGTTGCATACTGTTATTTCCAGAGGTGGGTAAAGTAGCCTAAATCCAAACTCAAGTATAAATACTGTTACTATAGGGAAGTAATAAGAAAAAGTAAAAATATCCTATAAAACTTATTTTTTTTATACTTTTTTATAAAGTACCAGGTCAGAAAACTACTTAAATACAGAATAACTTACAGAACTGCAGAGAAACTTCTTATTACAACCAGCCTTTATCCGCATAGGAACTAAAGATTGTTAGGCTACATTCTTCTCTTTTTAATGCACTCTTATTCTAAAAGTAAAAATAATAAACCTCAGAAGTCAGCGGTGTGACCAATCACACAAACTTCAAATGTCAGTGATGTAACCAAATCACATAAACCTCAAACATCTGTGGTGTAACCAAATCACATAAACCTCAAACATCTGTGGTGTAACCAAATCACATAAACCTCAAACATCTGTGGTGTAACCAAATCACATAAACCTCAAACATCTGTGGTGTAACCAAATCACATAAACCTCAAACGTCAGTGGTGTGACCAATCGCATAACCTTCAAAAATCAGCAGTGTTGCTAATCGAATAAACTTCAAAAGTCAGTGGTGTGACCAATCACATAAACTTCAAAAATCAGTGGTGTGACCAATCACAAAAACCTCAAACGTCAGTAGTGTGACCAATTGCACAAACCTCAAACGTCAGTAGCATGACCAGTAAAGTCAGCGGTGTGACCAATGCTGTCACCAACATTGAATTTATTTAAATTAAACACAAAATAAGAATTAGTAAGCAAATGATAATGACTAAGTACACAATCATCAAGATCTTCACTGAGTACATTAAAAAAAAAACAGATACTACAAAATATTGTTTGAGTGACACCATAGAAACCATGAAACCATGTCTGAAAAAGAGATTTGAGGTTTATGGATTCACATTATGTAGGTGTTCTCACTCACAAATCACGGGTCTTTAAAGAACCAGCCACTGAAAGGTCTTTTTAGAGAACCAAAGTGGTTCTTCTATATGACATCACACAAAGAACCCTTTAAAGCACCTTTATTATAAATGTAAGTGTAATTAATTACTAACCACCATGGTTATTTTATTAAAAAGTGGAGAAATACGAACTGCACCATTTGGACACACCTACAACAATGTAACAGCGAAGGCATCCAATCTATGAAATGACACATACATATGTAGGAACCGACAAAATAGTTAAACAAATGAAAATATCCATTTTAGATTCTTATAGAAAGAAGCCCCCAAAGCTGGGTTGCCTTGATGCAGGCTTTGTACACTCTCTACGTTCTCTCAAGCAGTTTAACAAAGAGCCACCTGAGACAATTTTCCAACAGAACTTCAGACTTTCTACACATGCTGAGAACTTGCTGGCTACTGAAAATGACTTGCTTGAGGGGCATTTGAAAAACATTTATTATTTAAATTTAAATTTAAAATGTTTTAAAGTTGTAATTTCACTATTTGAATTTGTCTTAGAAACAAATTCCATTTGCAAACATTAGAATGAAAGTATCTTAACAAATCTATAGATCAGAATGACTTTAATATTATGAAAAATGCATATTCAATTAGATGTGTCCAGACATTTGACTGTAAGTGTAAGTGTATGCATTTTGATACTTGTTTCTTATGTGTGCTTCAGTTTACTGGATTCCCAGAGAAGGGACAGAAACATAGGCTTTAATGACACAGGACAAGTCAGGTTGTCGTGAATGTGTGTTAGAAGAGTGATGGGTTGACATTTTTAGATATTGGCTGTATTTACAGTATATAAAAAAGTTTCCTACTTTGATAAAATTCAGCAGGGAGGCATTCTGGTGCCCTTTTAGTGTCTCAGCACGGTGAACAGACTTACCCTGACCCTTTCTTAAACTAGGTAAAAACCATCGAGGGATTTGCCCTGGACATCTGCCATCACTTCCTGACAGCATTTAAGCACGTCACACGAGCAAAGGTCGACATTGAGGAAACTCCCTGGAAGAGACTGGAAAAAGTATTACCATCTCAGAAATGAATCCGAATACAGTTGCATGCAAAAGTTTGAATACCCCTGGTCAAATGACATGTTCTGTTAAAATGAAAATAAGTGAACACTTCTCTGCAGCAGTGGTCACCAACTCTGGTCCTGGAGATATACTTTCCTGCAGAGTTTAGTTGCAGCCACAATCCGCCACACTGGCTCCAGCTAATGAATATCATCAGAAGTCACTGATTGACTGGATCACAGAAGTGTTAGGGAAGGAGTGAGGGCGGCAAGCAGGCTGGAACTAAACGCTGCTGGAAAGAAGATCTCCGGTAAACAAACATGAATATGGCATTTTGACAAATCATGTAATCTGATTAGAAGCATCCAAACTTTGACCGTATGACTGTTTATGTCTGTCAGCAGAAGCTTAAAATTTGTGCCTTATTCATATCTGTTTGACAGAATGGAGTTGAGCATGCCCATGCCTTCATCTTCTCTCCAGAATCTTGGCGCTTCTGTGAGGTAGAACAGTATCTAAATGGTGAGTGAAGACAAGGCCATAGAAGAAGGCTAGAACAGAATTCACCAACATAAAACAAAAGAGAACAGAGCAATTATAGCTGGGAATATTATATTTTGTGTTAATAGTAACAGTAACTGTAGGTTTAGTGAAGATGATTATGAAACATGATCATAATCATCTCACTACAAAACCCAGCATCCACTCATTAATACATCATACATCCTGAAGAGCTAAAGAGATCCTGACTGCTAGCATAGCCACTGGTGTTGAGGCTTATTAAAAAGATGTGATATTTGGCTTCTTAGCAGTGATGTTAGCTATCTGGCTTCCTTTAGCATAAGTCAGCTAGCAAGAAAAGAAAATGTTTCAAACCATTTATGTATCCACCCCAAAGTGCTTGTAGTTTTTCAAATGTCCACCTTCAAGATACATCACCAGAAGGGATTTTTTCTATACTTCAAAACTGGAAAAATCTAACACTTTGTTTGAATACTGTGTCTATGGGCACCCATAAATACATTCAAAACATGTGCTTTATGCTTTCATAAGGCATTATAGACATGGCTGTAAATATTAAAAAAAAATTACACTTTATTGTGCATTATGAATTGTTAACACAACACATTATGGGTGCATTGTTACTAACAAACCTGCCTACTCGTAACACACACAGAACTATCTGTCATTATGGGTATAGATTGTTATTGACAGACACATGATATACTCCCATTAAAAGAGCTTGTAAGTTCTATTTGTCAGCTCTAAGTGAACTGAGATATGATTCTTTTACACCATAGCATTTTCAATATTTTGTTTCTCAGGTGTTGTTAGGGCTGGGCATTCAGGGCTTAAGTCCTGAATATTTTGATGCCAGCCCTGAACAAGTTGTCCAGCCCAGAGTTATTAATACAATACACTTTACTTAACTGCTGCTCTTACTTTAAAAAAATACATCTCAGCAACCCAAGGACCCATCAGGCCTCTGCCCTGAAACCCTCTCTGACATCAAACTGATGATAAAGTTACTGTGGTGTAAAGGCATGGAGAGTGATAGCCAAGTTAGTATAGAGCCATCATCATTATTTGCTCCCTCACTGGTTCTAACATTAACCACTTTGTAAATAACCTTTGTTTGCCTGCTTACTACTACTACTACTACAGTAATGTTAATTTCTGCTAGTATTCTATTGGATTTGCAGTGTTATGTTTGCGTCAAGCTAACGGTGGTGTACATTGACTTTCCCACATTGGGTACATTACTACCCATGGCACCACTAGTTTAAACTCTGATATTTGAAGCTTGTAAGACATGCTTTAATTTGTATTTTGCAGTGTTTCAGTAAAACCGTCAGTAAACATTTCAATCTGAAGCCTCCCTCGTAATGTTGGAGGAGCCTTTAGTATAGTATGCCTTACTTTACTTAGAGCTGATGAATACAACTTACAAGCTCTTATATTGGCGTTCTAATATAATATGTGTATTAATAAAATTCTATTCCCATAATGATAATAAAGTTAATAAATTCTGTGTATGGCTAAGCAGGTTTGTTAGTCATAATGCACTCTACAATCTAGGGGTTTCTTTGACACAATATAACATGTTACGAACACTACTTATAATGTGTTAACAATTCCAAATGCATAACAAACATGGCCATAAAGTGTAATGCATTTTCATATATTGTTATAGCCATGTTTAGGCCTTATAAATGCATTATGACATGTTATGAACGTGTTTGTAGGTTCTTATAGACATGAAAATTAATAAAAAAGGTTACTAATTCTTGCTCTAGAGTCTATTACAGGGCCACTGTATGAGGCACGTTTACCACAGCTGTAGCGATCTTTCATTTTGTCCAAAGCGTCCTTTGAAGTTGCCATCTCATTCATCTTTTCAGAGCCCCCAGTGATTCACAGTGGAATCAGAGACATGAAGGTCCTGAAAACCACACAGTCAGGTTTTGAGGGCTTCCTGAGAGATCGCTTCACCACTTTGCAGGAAGCCAGGGACAGGTTCTTCTGTACTTCAGTCTACGCTAGGTGGCGCTACAACAAGCACCAAGGCGTACCTTTTGACACTGCATGGTATCCACCTTTCAAAACTCAGATTAATTAATAAAATATATCAATATATATGAAAGATATTATATAAGACGGCTGTTGCTGTCTTTGTATTAGATGGTTTGTGTTGTCTCTTGCAGGAAAACTGTGAAAGACACCATCATCGAGAAGTTTGCTGGACCATATGACCGCGGAGAGTATTCACCTTCTGTTCAGAAGACCCTGTATGACACACAGTGTCTTGTTCTTGACAGACTGCCAGAGGTCAGTCAGGCTGATGGACTGGAATGTTATACAATAATCTTGGTGTAAAAAGTGATATGGCTATAATTGTGATTATAAAATTAAACTGAAAATATAGTTTTATGTCATTATGTCATTGAATGTCATCTTATAGGTTGAGGAGATTGAAATAGTGATGCCAAACCAGCACTACTTTACAATTGACATGACAAAAATGGGAATCTCCAATAAGGATGAGGTTAGTGTCTATGAAATTTTCCTGAACGTTTGATCTGTGGCCTGATGTCCAAGGCTGAATCTCAAATGGCTCCCTTTATGGTGCACTATGTAAGTTCTAAAATTCTGGCTTCTACACCAAACAGTGCACTATATGTCTCGTGCACACCCCAAATGGCCCTTTGTTAGGCATATTACGCACTATTTGGGTGGAGGCATTATTTTACAATAGCACATTAAGAAAGGAAAAAGGAAGCCATTTGAGATTTAAGAGTGCATAATTGGCCTTGCTCTCTCTGGGTGGGTAGGATGGCCCACCCTCACCCCGCATCATTCAGTGCAATGTAGGCCAATGCTTGGTAGTATCATATGATAGGAGAACAAGCTAGTTAAACAGGCCATGACTAGAACTGGGGAGAAAATTGGGGGAAAAAAGTCTTAGAGTCTGAGAAGACCAGTGTTGTCAGGTAATGTTCTACAATCTTAAACATTAAAGTTTCTAAACGGTTCATGGCTTAGATGTGTGGTTCTATGAAAAACATTAATTGATAAAGAACTAAGGGAGGGCAATGTGGCAAAAATATCACATCAAGATCTTTCAAAGAACCAGTAGTGCCACATTTTAAAAATGCTACCAAAAACTATGAATACAATTATTTTTACTCAGTATGTCACATACTGTGCTGCACTAAACCCAATTAAACAGGCCTACTGAACTCTTTGTAATGAAATCTGCAGTTCTTGCATTACTCTTACTAATCCATGACATGCTCAGAAAAGCATATTGACGTATTTTATCACAATAATGATATTGCCATATTTTTCATTATTTAGGGTTCTTTAAACTTCAGAATGTTTTTAAACGTCTCATTTAAAATGTTTCTTTAAAGAACCATCCTTTGAAATGTTCTTCTGGGAACCAAAAGTGGTTCTTCTATGGCAGTGGTTTCCAACCCAGTCGTTAGGTCCCCTCAGATGGTCCACATTTTTGCTCCAACCCAACTTGCAACACAAGGATAAAGGAAAAATGTGGACCAGATCAAACCAGATCAGGGGTTTGAGTTTTAAGAAGGCTTCTTCAGTTAATTAATGCAGTTCTATACAATTAACATAATAATATAATATTCAATGATGAAAAGATGGAGCAGAGGCCACATTTCATGTGTAGTAAATGCAAAATGGTTCTGCTAGCAAGCTGCATTTCCATTTATTTCTTTTAGGTTCTTCTACCTCTTGATAATCCAGCTGGCAACATCACAGGGACTGTGCGCAGGAAGCCACGGGCAAGACTGTGAAACTGATCGCAAAAAGGGAATCCACAAACAAAGGCATTCTGACAGATCTGTAATCACCTGCAAACAAACAAACAAAGACCTCACTCTGTGTTTACCTGAAAACAGTCTGTGAAGTAAAGAAAATCATGAATTAATATTAAAATGACACCACCATGCCTCAATTTATCCCAGCTGGTCTAGAATGCAATGAGTGCAACAAAACTGCATGAGAGTTTTTACAACATTACACAACGTTGTGAAAACTACTGTTTTAAAGGTTTGGGCTGTTTTTAAAAATATAAAACCAGTTTTATTGCATACAAGTGTACAAAATGATTCTAATATATTAGTCCTTTGCACCTTCACAGGCTTTAAATAATTAGTATGACACTATGAAGAAATTTCAGAAGGATGAACAAAACTGCAGATGATTCTAAAACAACTGACGAAGCTATAGAACATGAACTGAGTTATAATGAAATTAGCATTCAGGATTCAGCATATAGAAAAATCTCAAGGCAGATAATTTGACAATAAATAAATGTAAACATAGTTATATGGAAAGGTTGGTCAAATTACATTTTACTGATTTTCTAAGTGAAAACAAGTAAACACATCCTCCACTGTAGGGGTGGGGAACTCCAATCCTGGAGGGCCAGATTGCTGCACAGTTTGAAGATTTTCCTGATCAAACCCACTTAATTCAACTCCTCAGATAGTTGGCAGGTTTAGTTGGAGTCCTAAAGCAGAGAAAACACCAAACTGTTCTGTACTCTGGCCTTCAGTTCTCCACCCTTGCTCTACAAGGAACTTAAATTCTCCTAATATTAGTGCATTTATTTGCTGAATTTAAAACGCCGGAACAAATGTAAAATATAAAATGTGTCAAAACGTTTGCACAGGCCACATTCTATGTTTTTTCCCAATATGCTAAATTTGTTAAATAAACAGTAACTGGGCATTAAAGTGGCCAGAAGTGTGTTCTCTGTAGAGGATGTCTTAACTAATTTTTACTTTGAAAATTAACAATATATGTCATTTGACATACTGAATGAAGGTATCTATTGAATATGGATGAATCTGTTGGGTAACTAAGAGAAGTGAATATGGGATTTTCACTTTAATGGAAAGATTTAGTCATTCTATATGAGATATTCAGGAGTTATTTCTAAAACTGGAATGAATGTTGGCAAAATAAAGGTGTTAAAAACGTTTGGCATAACGTTTTTGGGAGCCACATATTACAGTATAGTGCTGCAAAATATATCATTTGAGCATTCAATAAAACTTAAAGACGGATGCAATATTATGATTAGATATTAAGTAAACATGCACTAGATTATTAATGTATTACAAGCCTAATATTTCATCATAACACAATCTTTACCTCTGAATCGGCACATTTTTCTTTAAATTCAAGCACAATTTATTGCAAACTTCGGACATACATCTCAATCCTCTATTGCAAGACAGACTTCGAAAGGATGCTGTGGAAAAAACTTTTGTCAAAATGAACAATAAGCCCCAAATCTGCTTAAGCACCACTGATTAGGAACTGATATATAACTGCCATTTTAAGTCCATCGTCAACAACTGGTATTAACCAAGTCAATGTACAGACTCAGGAATCGTTCGTTCTAAAAGTCATTTTGTCAACCTCAAGCAAAAATGAACATGAAAACATTGAAAGACTAGTTATGACTAACCATGGCTTAATCAAGCTAGTTGCACCAAAAACACACAAAAAAACGGAGCCTGGTTTTGGTTTAGATACCAGACTCTAGCTACCTGTTAAACTGCTTTGTGAGAGTTCTTAGTTCAGTATGTTTAAATAAAATAAAACCTTAATAAAACTGCACACAGCTGTAGGATGGTTACAGTTCTCAGAGCCAAACAATTGATCTTTTGATCTGTAACCTAAATACAACTATTCATGACTTAAATACCTTTCAGGAGAAAAAGGAAACAAGCACCAACAAAAAAAAAAGCAACAACAAATAAATTATCAGCCCCTCCTTTTAGCCACTTTCTCCTCATATGTACAAGCCGATGAGGCAGAGTTCATTCCCCATTAAACCCTATGAAGGAGTAATGCAAGTCTTACCTAGCAACATCTTACACAATAGTGTTTAAAATCTTAGTGCCAGACACATTCACACATAATCTTTTACATATACAATTAAAATCTTTAAAAATCGCAAACAATAGTGAATATTTCAACATATGTACAAGTTCACAAAGGGTCTATTTAAAAAAAAAAAAACAAATTTCAAACATAACACCATTAATCATAAATCAATGCGACAAACGTAACATGTACCTGTACAACAAACTCAGACTGAGAAAGACAAATTCACATTAAAGTTTTTTTGTTTCTTTCTTTCTTTGCTCGTCCTCAAAGACGCATAAAATGCACACAAGGACGTGGCCTTGCTTCGGTCTGCAGTTACCCTGCTGTTCCATGGCATGATTGTCTTCCAAGGGGGCTGGCCGGTCCCCAGTGCTATGAGGCATTGCTTTTCAAGTGTTGGGTCTGAAGTGGCTTCACGTGGTATTCGTAAATCTTCAGTGCAGGGCCCAGTTTTATCGAGAGTCCAGTCAGAACGTCATTACGAGTCATTAATAAAAGAGATTTGCCATCGATTTCCTGCAAATGCAAATGGTTCATGGTTGAGGTGAAAGTCAAAAAAAGTGCAGGTAGCTAACTAGCAAGAGGATATGATGTAGTCATCCCAGCACTCAGCCCACCCCCCAAGTCAAAAGTCATAAAATCGAAATAATAATGCTGGTCTGATATGACAATGACCATGCCATAAAAACTTACAGAGCAAAAAATTGCATAAAAAAACTTGCAAAACTATTTTTTACCATTACATTTAATCTGTTTTGCTGTATTTTCCTACAATTTTTATTTTCCCACCTTTGTACATATATATTTTTTATTTCAGAGTGAGTCAGTCAGTCAGTCAGTCAGTCAGGTTTAGCAGGGTGAAGGAATGCTATACACTCATAGCTTTTGGTATTTAACGTTGGACATGGTGTGTACTTGTTAACACTTAAAAGTCACAGTTACTGCAATAACAAGCATGTTGTTATTCAACATTAATCATTTCTTACTCGTAGCTCATTGAAATAGGCGGAGAAATTATTGTGAAAGTGCAAATTTTCCACTGATACCACATTTGTGTTCAGAAGTAGAAGAGGACATTATTTATTAGGATTTGAATGGGCTAGACGTACAAGATGACTACTACACAAGGAGATTTCTGCAGGATCTGCCAAAGATCATGATCAGTTACGCATATCACAGCACTCAGACATCATCATCAGCACCAAGGAGTAAATAAGAGAAGCCAGGAAAGCTAAATCAATTAACAATTTGCTGTTGGCTTCCTGCTATGTGGTAAATGACGCTTGATTCTCTCTTTTACTCCTCTGTGATGTTTGAATGATGTGATCTACATAACTGATCGTGGTCTTTGGTAGATCCTGCTAAAATCTGGTGTAGAAAGTCATTGTGCAGAACGCACAGTAAAACCGCACAATCCTGTACAACTGGCCAATCTGATGTAAGGTTAATGTGCACATAGTCCAGATTTGCAAAAAGAAAAAGATCTTCTTTATGTTTATATTAAGTTTTGTCATTTCTTGACATTGAAACAAATGGAAAAACTCAAAAATGCAGAGCTGAATATGTTGATATAGTAGCTAACAAAGTCTGCAAAGAAACAGATGGACTATACTCTGTAATTGCAGAACTTCAAAGTGCACCTATATGGTAAGTGGAGCTGAAAAAAATGGTCAAAGAGTGTAGAAACAAGGAGGTGTACTTAATAAAGTGGCTGGCCAGTGTATGAGATCCATCACATAATTCATGATAAATATGTAATTATATGTAATTATGGAATTTGTGTGGTATAACTAAATAAATAAATACATTCTAAGGGTTCAAAGGTGCTAGGAATAAAATCTATTATTATATTATTATTATATTATTATTACTACCTGATCTTGGAAAGCATTTGCCTGCTCTTCAAAGCCAGTAGCTTTAAAATAATTGACGACGTCTGCTACTGCCCAGTGGGCCGGGTCTGGAAGCTGCCCGTTCTCCACCGAACTGTGAAAGAAAGGGGACTTTAATAAGCTACAGAGAAGGAGTAGCTTGCATAATCAACATTTCCATGTAATTACTGTGTAAATTACTAACTGTAATACTGTGATTAACACTGTATCAATTACCGTAGAAGATATTATCCAACTCATTAACCTGAATGAAACCATGCACTGAACAACTTCAAAACCCATTAAGGATGACAATGCTTAAGAAAACATGTAAATAAACTAGCCATTATGCAACGTTACTACAACTTAATGACGGTTTGCACAATATGAAAGCCTGAAGCTTTTCTTGGCAGTTCATGAGAGACACAGAGCAAAACATAGGCGTGGCTCTTTCAACAAACATACATCTGTGTAGCAGATGTCTTATACGTAATTCCACATAACCTGAAGTACTTCTTCCATTTCAGCTAAAGAACTTAATTTGAAGCAAAGCAATTTCTCAAGTAGTTTAGATTACATATGATGAAAAGGCACATACTAAGTGTAATTCAGCATTTGTGATACTGGCATTAATGTAACTGAAGGAAATTAAGGCACTTTAAGTGGTTGTACTTCACAGCTCTTCCCCACAGCGACTACAACCCCTTCATGTCCCCAGACTTCTTTTGATGACATCCTTTGGGAGAGTTATCAGGGCTCTGTGGGGGAGTTATGCTTTGTGCAGAGACCTAATGTTTTTGTAAAGCTTCTCTAGAAATTTAACCAGATGATGTAGATGATGCAGGTTCCACTCACAGCACTGAAAAAGATCTGAATAATCTGGCTAGTTGCAGACATAAGCTAGGCTGGCTTTACACGGCGAAACTTTAATGCAACTTCAGTTGCTTGAAAGCTACACTGCTAAACTAAATTGCACTTGAGTTTCACAATTTAAAGTACGCTACAACTCATTTGAAACTCAGCTACAATGGTTGCAAATGTCTCAAAAAAACAAGTTTCAAACAAGAAAATCCTCTGGACTTCATGCAAGGTTGGTATTTTTTTTTATGAACCAGCTGCGTGGCATTAACTAGCCAGTTAATGCTAACAGCTGCTTCAACAGTAGCTTGTGCCAGCGTTTAACCTTTTTTTCAATCCTGCTTTTATCGCAAATTGCGTAATTTGATTCATTTTCTCCTCTAATTTCACCTCGTGTTTTGCCAGATGAGCATTATGTTCATAAACCCTTGCTGTTTAGTGTCAGTGAGGGTCCTTTAAGTTGCTTATGCTAAAAAGGAAGTGAATGTTATTCTAAACATGACAAAACTACCATGTAAGTGCTGCCAATCACTTACAACTGCTATTTATTAATAATTTAAATAGTGTCAACTGAAACGTTATAGACTAGACACCAAAAGCACCGATGGTGTATTCACAATTTAAAACATTTGGAAACAAGAAAGAAGCTGACACGGTAAACATAGCAATTATTATCTATTTATAGTAACTTCCTTACTTAAAATGACCATCAACAGCTATTTGATCACTTTTTGAATATGAGGCATTCTGGATATTCATTTTATTATTAGTTCATTCTTGATTCTATATAGCTTTTTCAATTTTTGTCACTTTCAGCTCCGTTCTATCAGGAAATTTTATTTTTGAAGCTTCCTACAAATTGTTGGAAACCTACAGAATTTTAGAATCATATTAAAATTTAATAGAATTAATTTAATAGAATTTACTTCATGAATACAAACTTTTAACAGTAATGTACACAGAATGGTTCTACATTGTGTTTTTCTTTTAACCATCCCAAATTCCCTGAATTACAAGTTCTCATATCAGTCACAAATAACATGCAAACAGGGTAAAGGAAAGAGATTCTCACAAGGCTTTTTAGTATTTAGGAGAAAGACACAACTTACATACCTTTTGGTGTCCATCGAACCATTTGCCTTGGTTTCCATGACAGCTGGGAAAACACAAACAGCCCATTAAGAAGGTGCCAAGACTCAAAATTAACAGTGTCCCTTTGTCCCAGGCACAGGATCTGTGACATGTGCCGCTCTTTTCACTCAACTACTAACGGCCAGATTTAAGCCTGGGTTACGCACACTGAAAAAAGCAATTGTGTGGATGCAATATAACCCATTCATGTGGAAATGTACACACTGAACCAAGTAAATTCAACACTTTTTTCAGTGCACTCAGAATCAAAATCACTTGGATCAGGGGCCAACAGGCGCTAGCTGAGCACTAGTACCTCTGTTCTGCTTGATCTGATCAGCAATGTTTTTAAAAAAAAAAATGGTTTTACAAGCAAGACAGTGATGGTCTCTGTATGTAAACTCTTCTGAGCTAATTTTAACTGCTAATACTGTCTTACAGAGTAGGGTAACTTAGCAACTACCTCAAGTGAAGGAAACAAACTCATACAGAATGCAGCTTTAAAACCAAAACTGCCGTCGCAAAACATCTCACAGGAAGGAACCTTATCTGCTACAGATATGCCTTTGGCCTTGGAAATCCACTCAAAATCTCAACTCGATTAAACACATATCTACAGTTTTACACACTGACAGCAAGTAGTTGCTTAGCAACATGTTTGATCAGCAGTTGTTGTATACATGGAAAAGAATTCAAATAGAAAGGTGCTGCAGTTTGAGGCACTATAATATACTGCTTGTGTTGAAAGTGAAATAAAATGTGTTGTCCTTAATACCAGCCTGTCACAAGGAGAAGTCTGGACAAGTGAAAACACTGATAAACATAAAATCACTACTTATTGTATTTATATAATTCTTAGGTGTTTTTTATTGTAATTATTCTGCTTACCGCCTGATTAAATAGCTTTTTAAAGGGCCCATTTCCATATTTTCCTGGTATTTTACTTATAACACTGTATGGTTTTGACAGTTATAACTCATTTAATGTCACCATTTTCCAACTTCTCCTTATTGTACAGAGCTAAACAGGCTATTTTGGTTACTGTGCCTCTAAGACTGATATATGTAAATTCTCTGCCCTGCATTGTACCTCATTCACAAAGCAGTTCTAGCTAAAAAATCCTTATAACTTCAGTATGAATGGTCAGGGCTAAACTGCTGTAAGCTGAATAGGATTTATGTGAATGTGTTTGTTTGCAAAAGTAATTAATTCAAAGTGGCTTAAACACTTTGTGTTTACAAACTACACTACATTTTAAGAAAGTGAAAAAAATGAGGTTTTCCAGGATATAGGCCCTTTAAATCTAGTTTTCCCAGATGTACTACACTCTATTGCACCACCACAACTTGTGCAGTAAACACAAAGAAGTAATAGAACTGGGTATAATTTGATTGCACATCAGCTGGTTTTATGTTCTTGAAAAATGAGTTGATGGAAAAATTTAACACTGTATAGTGTGTGAGCTGAAACGTGAATAGTATTGGTCAAAATAATGTGGGTCAATTTTTAACGATGCCCAGTCATGTTCCTCAATGTGTTTAAATGTCTTCTGCATTAGAACTTATGTAGCGAAGTCATTGGTAACACAGTCACATCCACAGCCTATGTGAAGCTGCACTGTCCTCAAACTAAGTGCAGAATGCTGACCAAATGATCACTGGGCAGGTATGTGTCAGTTACATTATGCACACTGTGTATATAATTACACGTTTGCAGATTGTACATTTTGTGGGTCTTGGGTCATTATTTTTATCATTTTAAACTGGGTCAGGTGAGCGAGCATCTGTCTCTCAGGTCTCTGACTGTGACTCTGACCCGTGCAACACTACAATCCAACCATCTCAATTAAAAGATGGTAAAAGAGAATTCCTGTGATTTGTCAAACGTTCAGCATAATTCAACTGTTGAAATGTAAACATAATTCAGAGAGGTTTGATTTGAAATTACTGAGTGCATTATAGAGAAACGTACTCTGGGCATAGCAAATATAACCATTTACATCCAAAACAGTATGTCTGCTAGGTTTCTATGTGTAATGTTGAAAACACCAAAACAGCGGTAAATATGAAAAAACTGTTTTGCCTTACAATACCCTGCACGTACCTCTCAAAACTATTGTAATACAATTCATGTCATCAGACAGCATATTATTAACCACTTCATGTTGTAACTTCCTGTGAAGTAGTGTTTAGTGGCATTCAACACTTTGGACATCTGATTACTATCTTGTTAAGTTTCTTAACAAACAAAGTTTTCACATCAAAACACTCTGAATGACTTTGTTTACATCTTAATTTAAATATACAAACATTTTGAAACATTCACTGAGATTGTTGCCCAGCACCTTGTATGTTTCTAGTCAGCTCAGAAACACAAATATCAGTAAAACCATCAGCGGTGGCACTGAATGACATCCAAGAAGGGAAGTGCATGCTGCATCACCAAACTCAAAAGTTAGAAGAAAGTGACAATGTAGCAATAGATATTTATGATACTAAAAAATTGAATGAGAACTTTGACTGGCTACCTGTTTGTCACCGATGAATGCAATGTTTCATTTGACGGCCTCAGCTCAAGCCTCATGGTATGTACTCCTCATCAGTGGCATTGTTTTCTGTGCGTTCTCAGCTGTCAGGTGTCTTCAAGGTACGTCTCTGTGAGAAGATAACCTTAAAGTCAAAGAGGGAGTTCGAAATGCTAATTGTTATTCTATTACATGACAGATAATCATCAACAAGAATATACTATAATCAAAGACACTGAACAGTGCACCATCACTCGAGAGAATGCAGCCCAATGCTGGGAGGCTTTATACCCCTCTAGCTGATGCTTTGCATTAGGCTCATGTGTGGCTGCTCAAAGCATCCCATTCTACTGACAGTGGTTTTCTATGGAGGTTATACAAGCTGTGTATGCGTAATTGTGTCAGCAATCTGTGCCCCTTTAAGTAGACGTAAAAAAAGGGGGTCTACAAACTTTTGGACGTACAAAGTATAGCCACAGCAAGTCCTAAAATGCAAAGCTGCAGGAAGTCACTGACCTGGCACACTGCAACACTAACAGCTATTATCTGAACTCAGAAGGAGTGTATCAAGGGAGAAGCGAGCAAAATGACAGATGTATCATAACAAACTGTACACAATAATTATTCTGAATATTTCTGAATTATTCTGAATATATTCTGAAAATAAAAACGCCGAATAGAAAGTGTTATCCTGGTAGAATGGACAAGGACCGGAAATATCAAAACTACTGTGATCATATACGTCATTCATACAGCAACAATACCAACAGTCTTTAGACATGTTCCACAACTCTTTCTGCGAAAGGACGGTCCCGGATTTCTAGTTAGTTCGTTGTCGAATCTCAAAATGTAAATATAACTGTTTATAGCTCAATAATAAAACCCACGTGTCACCGAGTCAACTTTTTCAGGGTCTGACATAAAAATTAGCCGAACTCAGCCTTGAGAATAAACTGCCAAGACGGTGGTGACAGTGAAACAGAGAGCCAGCAGAGAAACACATGAATAACGATGTTAGCCAGCTAAGCTACATTCAGCTTTATTGCTGTCTGCTTTGCTTCACTAGTAACGGCAGCTAATTAAACTCAACTGACCGCGTTACCCTGCTCTGTACCGAAAAACACACCCATTCATAAAACAATAAAAATACTGCCACAAGAACACATACCTTTTTATTAAAAAAATATCCCGCGTAGATCAATAAGAAAACGAGGTTGTCTCTTGCAGCTCTGCTAAATTTGACACAATCCGACTTTCCTTCCGGCAAAATCCTCCTACGCACTCAGCCACTTCAACCAATCAGATAGGCGCAGTCTGGGCGTCCGCACTGAATTCTGGGGACTGTAGTTGTTTTTTGTTTTTTTTTTTAATGTATTTTATACAGTACAAACATATATTGCGGATGTTTAACCAGCCCGAATTACACCAAGAATACATTTCGATATGAATACAATTCGACGCAAATTCTTTTGTCAGGTCCACTTGACTTATGAAATTAACCTCCCAGTGTTGCTGTTTTAGCTGGTTAGGCTAACCACTCTAAAACCATCTACAGTACAGTGGCACATGTTTATTACCTCCTCTGTATATTTATATATCGATAGTTGCAGTATGTTATATTGAATCTTTTGATATATCTGACAAAGGATGAACGTTAGGAGTTTCTATAATAATTTCTCATAACCTCAAAACAGCAGACAAACATTCTAAAGCGTCAACATTCAATTAACATCCCTCACAGAAAACCCACAGGACATTCACTTGTGAATAATCATGTTCCCATATGATTCATATTTGTGGTTTTCTTACATTATGACTCATTCATTAACACTTTTCACATGTAATTCATGTATTATTAACATTATGTCTCATGTTTTGTTTTGGACACTTTACATATGAGCTGAATATTCATCTAGATTATATCACCAATACTGGATTATGATTATGTAATCTATATGAAAACACTGAAACCATTAGACACTATCTATCACTTCATTTTATAGCTGGTGATCTCAAATGCATCATTGCAAGCTGTACTGCAATGTTGACTTGTCATCTTTGTACATAAGAAGTAAGCGCCATCTATTGTTTTTTATTTACAAAGCTCCATTGAAACAGCTACCACCCTACATCCCATCTTTCCTTAAAGTCAAAACAAACGAAGAAGTATTAGGTACGTAATGTACAGACTGGCCGGGTCTGAATGTACCCTCTATATGCCTGACCTACAGAATTTGCTTAAACAGCATTTTCATGCAATGCAATTAGTGTGGAGTTGCTTTCAACTGAGAGCTAAAATACATATTTTATGTTTTAGTCAATTTAAAATACTTTGAATAACCTGATTGCTTTTCATATTTTTGGCATTTCTGTATTTGTATATATATACAACACATATACAACACATATATAACACACACACACACACACACACACACACACACACACACACACACACATATATATATATATATATATATATATGTGTGTGTGTGTGTTTTTAAAATAATACAAAGACAACATATCAAATGAAACGTGTTGCTGGCATCAAATTCAAAATAGGCGTATTATAAAAACATTTCTCAGTTTCAACATTTGATATGTTGTCTTTGTTCTATGTTCAATTAAATATAGGGTTTAAATGATTTGCATATCAGTGCATTCTGATTTTATTTATATTTTGCACAGTGTACCAACTTTTTTGGAAACGGGATCATATGTCTGTATGTAAGTATAAATATAAAAATGTATTCATGTATATATGTATGTACAAATTTGACCACATATATAATGCATGTGAGTGTTCTATGAGGGATATGCCCCAATCCAGAAAGGCCAAGGGCAGAGTATGATAAAAACAACACCGAAATACAAAGCATTTTCTTTTATTTGTTACAGTGACATATCATTTGATACATAAAATATGCTACAGCGAAGAGGTGTACACGTCCCTTAAAAATACATGTAATAATACGGGGGAAGGGGGGCAGCTTTCTAAATGACATTGTGCAAATTATCATACAAACTAAATACAGAGACATTGCATACTATAGCCCACACTGACGAGTGAAATAACTAAATAATTTTTTTTAAATATCATTTTTGGGAGTGTCAAGTGCTAAACATTCCAATGAAATAAATAAAACACACTGCCTTCAACTAGAAATTTGTTAAGAACCTTCAATGACATTTTTCTTGAAATGTCAGTTAGGCCAGCTCGACAAATAGAACATTACATATATAAGCCATCTCTTTAACGCATTTATAAATAAAATCCGTAAAGGAAACAGACGTATGAAACACAGCCGTAAGGCTGATGGCCCAGTCAGCAAAACATTGTTTTTTTTTGTGCTGGATGTGAAAGCCACTTTGTAACCACCATTTGGCTTTACATACTAGTTCCAACGGCAATTTGGTTGAATGAATGTTGAATGGATGTGAGATACAGCTGAGAATGTAAGGTGACACAAAAGAGGGAAGGGAAGCAAAATAGACACTTCATGATTTTTTTTTTGCAAAAAAAGATTAAAAAATCAAAATAACAAGTTAAGCTGTTGCACTTAAACCAGATGACATGGCTTCACAGAGTAACAGCCTGCCATTTTCATGCTGGTGTATTAATCTTTTACTGGAAATAAACATTTCTAGGTCATTAATCATCAAAATACCAAAGCACAGTGTGCTTAAAAATGACATGAATGATAATGTTTTACCGATATGTATTGGTCTAGCAGTTGCGGGGTTGCCATGTATGTGCTCTGGCCGATATTGTGTACCTATCTGATTATTCTGTCCTTAAAAATAAAAATAAAATGCCTTCAACAGTTTTTATTCTTCACACATATACACACATGCTCACTCACTGTCTCTCTCTCTCTCTCTCTCACACACACACACACTCACACACACACACACACACACACACACACACACACACACACACACACACACACACACACACACACACTGAGGGGGCGTAAAGTTGTGGTGCGTCATGGACAGTGTGAAGCTTAAAAACTGAATGAACATGTAACAGACAAAAGATGTTGCTGGCAAGAACAAGCAGCACCAATCCTTAAAAAAAGTGCATTTCACAGACTAAAATTAAAACATTTGCGTCACCACAAATAAGAGTAACTGGCCTCTTCCCTTTTCATAAATATATAAAAAAAACAATAATAACAACAACAGGAAGAACACATCATTCTTTAACATGATGATAGATTCTGAAACAGAACAGAAAAAAAAAGGGTGTGGTCTGGTGCTTCGTGTTGCAGCCCAAAAGAGAAACTGCACCTCGTGCCTATGTATAGCTTAGTGCAAACTGCACCCAGAGAAACATGGCACTCATGAATCTCTCTCAGCCTTATGGAATGAAGAAATGTGAAATAGTCTAAACACATATGATGGTCATAGCTTCACTCTCACCTTCGAAGGAGTGCAAAATAAAGAAAAAAAAATCCCAAAATGTAAGAGCCCTATGAGAATCCTCCATCCCACTAAAACTCCAAGAATTCTTTTGCGCACTTTTCCGTGTCCGAGATCCGGATCTCCTCCTCTTCATAGTCGTCAAAGTTGCTTGTGTCGCCTGGCCCTCTGCACTTTGGTATGATGGGCGCCTCCACCTTAAAATAGACGAAAGACATCATATCAGAGCCAATTTAAGGGGAGTCTGACCACTTCCTATTTCTCCCTTTATATAAAAAACACGACTGTGGGCACCCGAGTGGCGCAACCATCTAAGAGTTGGCCCTATCATCAGGAGATTGCGAGTTTGATCCCTGGTGATGCCACAGCCATCCGTAGCCAGGAGTCCAAGAGAGCACAATTGGCCTCGCTCTCTCTGGGTGGGTAGGATGGCCCCTCCTTCTCCCCCCATCACTTAACGCGATGCTAGTCAGCGCAGGCGTCTGTTAGCTGACGTAACAGATCTGGCGGTGGGCGCTTTCCTCCGATCACGTTCAGCTGTCCAATGACGTTGCGTGAGCGGCAGTTCGAAAAGAAGCGGTGGCTGGCTTCACAGGTCTCGGAGGAAGCCTGTGTTAGCCTTCGCCCTCCTAGCATTGATAGTATTGTGTGATTGGGGGAGTCCTAACTAGCGGGTGGAATTGGCGACGACTAAATTGGGGAGATAATTGGGTAAAATATATATATATATATATATATAAAAACACGACTGAAAAACACTAGAGGGTGGTGTCCATGAATGGGTCCTCAATGAATGGGGGTGAACAGAGCTAAGTGTCCAAAAACAAACAAACAAACAAACAAACAAACAGTCTCTAAGCATTTGTGCAGGACCTTCATTTAATTCTGGAAAGTAGAAGGATGTTTTTCAATTAAACAACAAAGAAAATTTATCAGTATATTTCTGATTTTGTAAAGCAGACAGGTTCTGCATTGCTTTATTCAAATCTAACAAGTGTTAAAAACAAGTGTTAAAATATTTGCGCCAATTTAGCAAATTAGAGCATTCTTCTATATAAAAAAATTAAGCATTTATAAACTACTATAAACTATTTATAAAAGCTTTATAGGAACTCTAACGAACTTTTTGACAAACTGACAAACCAAGAAGACATTACTGAATGACAGTTCTCCTCACCACAAATTCTCTGATCATACGAGTACTGTATTACTGCATGCTGGAAAAACTCCATATGGGAGGGGTGTAACTTCAAATGGGTGGAGCACAGCTCCAAAACTCAAGAGTGCTCCACTACCGGTTGTTGAAATGTCTGGTGGGTTTTATGCGAGGCTGGGTTCCAAGTTTCTGTTGGTTGGTCGTAGAACAGAATTATGTTGCTGATAAATTAATTATTTTATCATATTGTGTGCATTACACGGACATGGACAGATAGCAATGTCCATTTTATTTAAATCAAACATACATTTGGTCCAATGTGTAGTCTAATGTAATTCCTTCCTCTAAAAATTTCATGTTAACTGTCTAAAAGTCAAGTGAATACCATGTGTGTCAATACTGAAATGAACTCTTATTCTACCAGCGTTTTTTTCTCTTTTATAGTGACCGGACCTAAAGGTAAACAGCGCAGATTCACTTTTTTTCTAATAAATCTGAAGTGCAGCAAGTTGATTTTTGAGGTCCGAGCTGCGTTTTTTGGGCCAATAAATTTTAGCTCTACTCTCATCCACACATCAGAAACAAAAACGGTTTTCATATGTAAGTCAACAAAGGGCTTGTCAGACCATACGATTTTTTTTAGCTTCATCATGCCACGATACTACTTACCCAGATGTGTTTTTAGCTTTCTTGGTTGCAAGGTCACTTTAAAGATGTATAAGTTCAAACAAAACTCATTTTTAAATCTGAAAAAATACTGCAATTTCAAGGATAATGACGTTATATATTTGCTGCATAGATAAATGCATGCTGCATCCATAAAGGCCAACATTTCATGGCACTGAGACAAGCAATGGGTTATCTCAAAAAAAAAAGTAGAGCACAAAACTTTGCGAAGTGTACAGGTCCCTCTAGAGTTAAGCCTGTTTGCAACATTAGTTTTATGCCAATAACAAAGCATTTAACAGAACGCCAACCCATTTGGAGTTTAAACAGATCCCTTTGGAAGTACACGAGTAACCATCTAAACGTTCGAGGTGCTAGTAATCGAATATTAGTATTTGGCTGCTTATTAATATCTGTTGCGTTTCATCACGACCATCATCAATTTAGTGAGAAGTCAGTTTTGTTTTAACAGGACTGTAATATGTGACAGTTGAGCTTGTATTTGCAATTAAGTACAAATATAAAACACATACATATAATATTGAACTTTGCTTTTCTTTGTTGGCTTTTTTGCCAACAAGGGCAACTATTCTAGCTGATGAAGCAGTAAAATATATTTATTTGACAAACGTATTGTTGGAACACCATCCACTGAGGAGACAAGACCACTTGTAAGAAGACAATGTCTCCATTAGCATCCAACACTGTTAGCACATTCTCATCTGAAGAAGCAGCCTCCCATCAAACAGGAAAATCTACTGATTTCTTCTGGCTGTTTTTAAATAATCAAAGTCTATAGGCCAACATTAAAATCAAACTTTTTTTGTTTCTTTTTGTTGAAAATTTTTCTACCGCTAATAACTGATTATCCACTCATTAACTCTGGGCTGCAACGAAAACTTGCAGCCACACTGGCCCTTTGTGGAAAAGACTGGTGACCTCTGGTTTACACCTTAGCTATTTAACTGGGCACAATTTTTAAAAATTGGTGAAATTCCAGTTGGTGCCATTTGTAGGCTTACAAATAGTGACTACAGACCATCTGTCCCTACCCTCTGCCCTCTCAATGTCAAAGGACCTGCACAGGACCACCACTGATCAGATTTTATTTGGGTGGTGGAGCATGCTCAGCTCAGTAGTTTTATCAACATGGTAGTATGTGTGGAGTTGGTAAGCGTATACCAGGCACAGCGGTTTGGCTGTGGTTTTTACACACATCACTGCTGGGTTGAAAATAGTCTACCAACCAAAAATATCCAGCTAGCATTTGTGCACTGCAAAACTGACCACAGCACTGCAGTCGGAAACTGTCCGCTGATCAAGGGTTACATGATGACTGACACAAATTCTACATAAGCTACAAGCTCTAACACAGTACACAATGTTTAAAAACTCATGCAACACTGCTGGACCTTGTAACAGCACCACACACTAACATACCACTGCTATGTCAGCGTCACTCCTGTGCTGAAAGTAATATCTGACGAGTGGTGATCCTGTCGTGGTTGAAGATGGACTATATACACCGATCAGGCATAACATTATGACCACCTCCTTGTTTCTACGCTCATTGTCAATTTTATCAGCTCCATTTACTACATAGGTGCACTTTTAGTTCTACAATTACAGACTGTAGTCCATCTGTTTCTCTGCATACTTTGTTAGCCCCCTTTTACCCTGTTCTTCAGTGGTCAGGACCCCCATGGACCCTCACAGAGCAGGTACTATTTGGGTGGTGGATCATTCTCAGCACTACAGTAACATTGATGTGGTGGTGGCGTGTTAGTGTGTGTTGTGCTGGTACGAGTGGATCAGACATATGAATGAGAGACTAAAGAACGTTTATGTTGTGGTTACATCAATACAGCCATAACAATTTATGTAAAAATACCAGATTAAAAAAAATCAAAAAAAGTGGTAAACCTATAGCACAAACTACCAAACTCTAAGCAAGAACAAAGTCTACAGGTTTCAAGAGCAGAAATTCAAGTGCGTTTGTTCTCCCCACTTTTATTTATCAGATTCTATCAATACACTAACATTAGAATTGTGAAAGAATTGCAAACATCAATGAAATGAGTGAAATACTGCTAATAAACAAGAAGTCATACCTTTTTTTCATAAATCGCAATCCAATCTGTTGTAGCGAACCACTTGTGGTTTTTAATGTCATTGACCCCATTCTTTAGATTGCCAAAGCGTTTTGTGAGGTCAACCTGAAGAAGATTCCTCAGCAGGTCCTTTAGGTCTGAACTGAAGTGAGAGGGGAATCGCACCTGTGGCAAAAAAAGACAAAAATATTGAATAATTTACCCCATTTACAAAAATGTTGGGACGCTGGGCAGAATGTAAATAAAAATAGGATGCAATGATATGCAAATCATGTAAACCATATTTTTAAAGGAAAATAGTACAAAGACAACATATCAAATCTTGAAAATGAGAAATCTGATTGTTTTATGAAAAATATACGGCAATTTTGAATTTGATGCTAACGACATGTTCCAAAAAAGTTGGCAGGTTTACTACTGTGTTTCATCATCTCTTCTTTTAACAACACTCTGTAAGCGTTTGGGAACTGAGGAGACACTGCTGTAGTTTTGAAAGTGAAATGTTTTCATATTTTTCATTTAATAATGCGCCAAATGTTATCAGTGGGTGACAGGACTAGACTGCAGGCAGGCCAGTTTAACATCCATACCTTTTCAATATGGAGCAATGCGGTTGTAATATATGCAGAATGTGGTTTGACATTGTCTTGCTGAAATAATCAAGCCCTTCCCTGTAAAAGACGTTGTCTGGATGGCAGCATATATTGCCAAAACATGTATATATCATTGAGCATTAACGGTGTCTTCACAGATGTGCACGTCACCCATACCATGTGCACTAATGCACCCCTAAACCATCATGAATACTAGCTTTTGAACTGTGCACTCATAACAAGCTGAACGGTCTTTATCCGGGAGGACACAGTGTCCATGATTTCCAAAAAGAATTTAAAATGCTGATTTGTCGGACCACAGAACACTTTTCCCCTTCCCCTCAGTCAATTTTAAATGAGCTTTTCACAACTTTACCAGCCTTTTGGAACATATTGTTGGCATCAAATTCAAAATGGGCAAATATTTTTCAAAAAACAATAAAATTTCTCAGTTTCAACATTTGATATGTTGTCTTTGTACTATTTTCCTTTAAAAATATGGTTTTATACAGGGTTTAAATGATTTGCAGATCACTGCATTTTGTTTTTATGTACATTTTGCACAGCGTCCCAACTTTTTTGGTTTGGAAATGGGGTTGTAATTTAATTTCAAATCCTGTCAGTTATTTTTGAGAAGAAGAAGAACAAACAAAAAAAAACAGTTCCTGAAATGTTATCTGCTAGATAATTTGAAGCATGCAAGAAGACCACACAACTGTTTACCTTGCCAGATACAATTTTCTCATAAATCTGGATGGGCTGGTCAGCGAAAAAGGGTGGGTAGCCGGCTGCCATTTCATAGATAAGAACACCAAGAGCCCACCAATCAACTGCCTTATTGTAGCCCTACAAACAAACCAAGCACATAATAAATATCCATTATATAACCTACAGCTGAAAGAATTATGGATATAAAAATGTGGATCAGAGGGATGGGTTATTTACTCAACCTTGCTAAGGATAATCTCTGGAGCCAGGTACTCTGGTGTCCCACACAACGTCCAGGTTCTGCCTTTTACTCTTTTTGCAAAGCCAAAATCTGTGACCTAATACAAATACAGAAAAAAATTCTGCTTGGATGCTGTACATACCTATTTATCCCCATTTGTCCTAAGGGTCTGTTTGTGGGCCTACTCCTTAATTCCTCTCTCTCATAACCAGATAACCCTCATATTGGTTTCATGGCAGTTACCAAATAATTCATATTAGCTACTGAATAATACATGTTAAAATTTAAACTAGATGATAAGATAACTAGATAGGATTCAAGGGGTGAGGAAAATCTTTAGGATAAAAATTGCAGAAAATTCAGAGGAATGATTATTTATATGGAGTGAAAATACTGCTGGAAACAAATTTTATACCTGGATGTATCCATGCTGATCAATAAGAAGATTCTCAGGCTTCAGGTCTCTGTAGATGAGGTCTAGAGAGTGGAGGTACTCAAACGTGAGTACAATCTGAGCCGCATAGAACCTTGCATGGTGCTCGCTTTGGGTAGAAAGATTTGGAACATAAATGAACATGTCATAAACATGAGTGAAGACAGCATAGACCAGTGAATTTATTATCTCAATAATAATAAATTGTTCACCTGAATCTTCCAATTCGTCTAAGGTGTGAGAACATCTCTCCACCGGGGACATACTCCATAACCATATACAGGTTTGAGTTGTCCTATAATGCCAGAATGTAAGCGTTAAACAGACTCATGCAAACCACAAAGGTATTAGCATAAATACATACATTGTTAATGCATTAACCCTCAACCCTCATCCTTTAGAAACTACACCAAAACTTAAAAAAAAACTATCCTTGGAGGACAAATGCTTATCACTACTGAGAGATGCCACCCACCCTACTGTAACAACAGTTACTGCACCGAGTTTAATCAGTAACGTACCTTGAAAGCATATTCCAATCTGACAAGGAAAGGGAAAGACACCGCCTGCAATATTCTCTTCTCATTTAATGTGTGTTCTATTTGTTTCAGCTTCACCACCTTTAAAATAAGCAAGAACAAAAAACAGATTTAACTCACATTATCTTTTCCTTCACATTATTTAAGAGAATCCTTTGACAATTTAAGGTTATATTAAAAAGCAGTGGTTTGAACATGATACATTTAAAGTGCTCTCATTGCATTTTAAACAGTTTTTTCCCAATTTCTGCATAATTTAATTGTTAAGATGTAAACAAAGTCATTCAGAGTGATTTAATGTGAAATGTTCTATTGCAAAGTAACTTAGAGTCACAATGACCTGCAGTGTTGACGATAGGAACCAGACATCAGGAGCGTTTAATGCCTTTAAAAGCTAACGTACAGAAAGTCATTGCGTCAAAAGATACAAATACTCTGTCTAATGTCTGAAAATTTGGCCTACAACGTATTTTTAAACTCGTTCATGGTGGGGAAGTACATGCAGGGCGTTGCTGGTATAACAGTCCCCAAAGAAAACATACTTTTTTAGATTTATTACCGTTTTACTATTATCAACATTACATATAAAACTCTTAACACACATTCAGGTTCACTGGTCATTTTGGATAGCACATAACTAAGCAATGAACAACAAGAGGGAATATGTTATCATGAATAACATTACGGCTGTGATCTGGTTGCAGACACAAGCCACAGGTAAGTACTGTAGATCATCACATCCATGATGTTGTTTGTGATAATACAAAAGTTTTACAGCTTTCATGGAACACTTTTTCAGAAAAAAAGAAGTAAAGCAAAGAAGCCCCGAACATTGGGTCAAATGAGCTTTAATATTAGCAAAAAAAAAAAAGTAGCAATTTGCATTACAGATAGAGCCATGAAGCTGTTATAATATCACATTCAATTCAGCTTTTTCAATACTTGCCAGATTAACCTGGATGTCATTTTGTTTCAGGCAGTCTGTAAATTAATGTTTACTGAAATTTATTCTGTTTCTTTGGAATTCCAGTTTGTTTGATTGTTCTGCCTATCATAGCTGCCAGCCGAAAAGATTCAGAGTAGGCCTGCAGTCATACTTTTGTAGGCCCTGTTTACACTCAGCATTAACATCTGATCATTGTGGTACTTGGATCATCATTCAATCTAATCTAAGACGTGGTATGTTTACACCCGCCTTTTTTCAAATGTAGCCTCTGCATCCAGATATTAATCAGATCTGATTTCCTCGCCCAATATTTAAGATCTTAAATCAGGCTGTGCATCGCTGGAGCAGAGTAGGCAGAGTCTATATAGGCTTTGCTGTGTTTAGTGCATTAGAGAACATTTTGCAATCACGGTGGGAGCACTCCAGGCATTTTAAGCTACAGAGAAAGAAAATGCAGCAATGTTATGTTTGTTTTGATTAGCGCCACAAGTGAAGCACAGTTGAAAAAACATGCATTAAAATTACAGCAAGGAGCAGTGAGAGATCCACATACTGTCCTTTAGCAGGAGGCAAAGGGCTTTTTAACTTTCACGTCTGTAAGTCTATGTTTAAATACATGTCAGGATCAGGACAGCTGGATCTCAACACTTCTTGGTCACAAATGCAATTGTCCTTTAAATGCGTATATGGACAACATCCAGATACGGACACATTTTAACACCAAGTATAAACAGGCCCAATCAGATTCTGACCAAACCAGCTGCAGGTGAAATATTATCCTATAAAAGATATCTAATGTATGCACTTTGTTTTTATATATACTAAAACAGAACGGTTATACTAACGGTTCTAACAGCATGGGTAGAACGTTTCTCAACCAAACAGAATATGCTGCCTTATTCTTGTGCTCCATAAACAGACAATATTAAATGCTAAAGAAGGCATAACATGATTGAATGTGAAACATGAGAATAAACGAAAATGTAAGTCATTTTTATTGTTGGGATGTTCGAATGCTTGTGTGCTGGTGTTAGTAACTGATCTGTTAAGAAACCTGAATCCATGTCTGAGAAACGCTTTAGCTAAAGGATTCTATTTATAGCCTAGATTAATTACTTATGGTAATAAAATCATTTCATTTCAACCTTTAAATTTTGTTTACACTGTCAGGTACAGGCGTAAAGATGCAAAGCAATGGCACTACATAGCAATGTTTAATGGGCATGTATTTCAACAATAACAGCTGGGATTTTCCAAGTAGCGATAATGAAACCACGTTTGTATGTCCTTTGTTTGTGCTTTCTTGAGAGGTTTATACTTGTAACAAACTGCACATTGTCCCAGGAAGTCTCTGAGACATTTAATGGGACATAAAATGTAAGAAACTTAACAAGTTAACAAGTATTAAGTAAGAAACTTAACAAGTGAGCACACGTTCCTTGACATAGCTAAAACAGTAATGAACGACACATGAAAAATACAGCAGCTCACTGGTGAAAAGGTGAATATGATGGTTATATTTGCATTATATACATCGCCAACCACTTGCTCCTATCACCACCAGTGTGATCTGAAAGAGATTCTCTACTAATGATGCATTGATAGTATTTTTTTTCCAGACCGAGTACTTTTTTTTTAGTACTTGTTGATACTGAAACCGATACCATAATGACTTACATACCTAGAATGAAGGGACTGTTAGTGGAAATGGGTGTAATGTACCTTAGCCTTAAAATAGAGACAATTTTAAATGATGTGTAACTTTAGTACTCAAACCCCACTGAAATAAACTGTAATAACTCAAAGGCGTCTAACATTTCTAGGCTATTCAAGGATTTTCGTCATGGTAAAACACAATCTCAGACCCAGATAAAGCCTATGCCCAAACTAACTGAGATTTTTATTAATGGTGAATAACCACTGGCATTGCAGTTTAGTCCAAGACTAGCCTTAATCCATGTCCACTATGTGTTTTTGTTGCATATAAAAAACATCAAAAAACTTTACAAAAGTCGCTGGAATTAGAAAATCAAAAACTTCATATTTTAATGAATTCCTCATTTCCTTCAATCATCATATCTAACAATCTAATTGCAATGTGGCAAAGACGACAAGCATTCTAATATCAGCTTTCTACCTCCTGCCAATTTTCACAACAAGAATAGAGTGAATACTTTTCGGAGGTTATGTTCTAACCCATACCTGGTCTTGTGTACTGAGGGTTACAAACACAAACTGATGGGGAACAAAGTGTAGGTGTATTTTTTGAGGTTTTGCACTGAACACGGAAAGTTTCCATTTCCGTTACACACAGACATTAACACTATTCAGTTGGTTACAACAAAGTCTACTGGTCAAGCACCCCCTGCTTGTGTACTCACTTTTTGCTTGTCCAAGATCTTCATAGCATAGTATTGCTCTGTTCCTTTATGTTTCACTAACATAACTCTTCCAAAAGAGCCTGTACCAAGAGTTTTCAGTCTCTCAAAGTCATCAAGGCATGTTGTGCTCTGGAGATATCAAAGAAAACAGCAGTTAGGTGCTTAAAAATGGGAAAGAGGTACAATAAAAAAAGAAAAAGAAAATATTTTTTTGTTTTTACCTGTGGAGGACACTCCCATTTCCTTAGGAAATCCTCTTTGGCTTTGGCTAAAAATTCTTTCACTAAAGGGAACATATTAAAAAGAAAATTAGCAAAGATGGTCTGGCTATGTTGTGAATTTATGACGCATTCACTATTTTAAGGCTACACTAGGCAAGTTTACTAAAACACACAAAACTAAACAGCAACATGGGCCTCTCTGTGCAACAATAAAAATATATACAATACTGTGCAAAAGCCAGAGGACCACTTTTCATTTATTCAATTTCCAGTCATTAAGTAGATGTTATTAGTTTATCAGTAGTGTCCCTACTTTTTTTTACAGCTTTTCAAAGAAATCTGCAGCGATATGTTTCCACACCTCCACACCAAGTTCAGCCTTAGCGGTTGGTTGAATTTTCTGCTTCTTATTCAAATAATCCCAAACACATTCAGTGATGTTGGGGTCTGAACTCTGGGGTGGTCAGTCCATTGTTCTGGTATCACAAGCAGCTTCTTTGTTTAGTCTGCAAATATTGCTATGTTTTGTCTATTTTCTTTTCTCAGTAAGGGCTTCTTGACAGCTACACATCCATTCAGACTTATTCAAATTCAGTTGTCTTCTCACAGTGGAAGAATGGACAGAAACACCTGTGGATTTTTTCAGATCTAAAGCAAGAGTGGAGCTTGATTTTCTCCTCTCTCTCTCAAAGATGAGAGCTTTAGGTGCTTTTTATCTCATGATTTAGGTTGTAAATGTTATACATAATTTTCTCAGGAATATCTTCTAAAAATTAGTAACATGTACTTAAAAGCAGTTTAGACTGGAAATTAAACTGCCTCTGACTTTTGGACAGTACTGTATATAAAATAAATAATGAATCAAAAAAAAAATCAGAATACTGAAATATAGAAAAAGGTAAAACCAAGGCAGTTTGACAAGGGATGCATTATGCAACGATTCTATAGAGGGTCCGTGCTGTACATGCAAACTCAATGCAGGCACAAACCACAATACAAGCAGAGCTGTTCTAGACATCAAACATGAGAGCCCTCTGTCAAAGAGACTGCAAAAGACAAGACTGAAACTTCACTGGAAACCGAAAGAACTTCTCAAGTAAGTGAGCTAATTAAAGCATGGGAACTTTTTGTGCTTATGAGCTTATGTGGTATTTACTAATGAAAAAAGCTTTCCCTTTCTGCATCAGGAGGAGGAACTGCTGTCCTTTAAAGCTGCTGCACAAATGATCCCAGAATACTTTCTGCATTCCCAGGTTTGAGCCATGTATCCTGTTGCAGGTCCATTTTGTTAACTCAAAAATATCCATTTGCACAGTATTCACACTTGCATATTGATGGGCGATACTGATAAAATATAAAGTAATGCCATTTTCCAGGTATATTACAGGGTAACAGCACTGATTATATTTAAATTTGTATTAAAGGGTCCATATAATTTACACACACACACACACACACACACACACACACACACACACACACACACACGCGCGCACGCACGCACGCACGCACGCACGCACGCACGCACGCACGCACGCACGCAAGCACGCACACGACATGACAAAAACAATGGATTCAAAAAGGGATGTTTCTGCAGCTCAGTTACCATATATGGACTGTGCAGACTGGGGAGTCAATGGTATGTTTTGAAATGCTGTTTATGTACAACATCAAACACTTATTTACAAAAATGGAAGTAATTTCGGTTTTACATAATATGGACCCTTTAATAACTGGTACTCTAGGCTAAATAAACGTGTAACAAACTTCACATAACTTGTTTTGAACCTGTTTGTTCGGTTCTATCTTAAAATTACATCAAATGGTACTTTACACACTACTGTACATGTTAATCAGCCAGAAACCACATCTCCAGAGAAGAAACTTATTATTTATTTAGTTTTGAACTATTTTAAACTACCTGAAGCACATGCAAAGGATATACACTTCAGTTAACTACATTTCTAAAATTCATGAATAACGCTGAAACTAAAAATCAGTATTGTTGTGTTTCATCAATACTGCTCTACTGGTATAGACAATATCGACTAGTACTACTCTGGCACTGAATACTGACAGTATATTGCTGGTGTAATGATTTACTCATTGACAAACAGATGTTAGAGAAAGAAAAGCGGACAGAAACTGAACAAGAGTTAACATTAATGTATACTGGAGTCCACTGCAAGACACATGGCTCTGACCTGGGTCTACCACTTAAAGGAGTGGATCAGTGAAAATTAAATTTTCCTGTAACCCAGTTGTGGTCAATAAGCCAAAAAACATTTGGTGTCTAAATGTGGCTTCTTTAATTTCAAAGCTACAAGAGCTACAAGGCTAACAGAAGTCAATAGTCACCCAAAGTTTTTCTACAAATACATCTTCCAAAATTTCTCTAAACCCGCTCAAACCCACATCCAGGTCTTCATTAAGGTCATACAAACTTGATGTGATTAACGCCACAGTATGACTAACTGTGAGGTATAAAAATTCGCAAAACTTTACTGTGTAGTTGAACGCTGCAGACAGCCACTTTAGACAATAGTGTTGTGCTGAATTCCGACTGCCCCTCGGAATCCGATTCCCTATTGTGTGTGCACATAATGCAGGCATATGATTGTTAGACTACTAGATTAGATATGATTTCTGTTGTTTCCATTTTTAAACATAATCTTGAATTTTCTAACTAAGGTTAACACACACACACACACACACACACACACACACACACACACACACACACAGAAACAACAGAAATCACGACAGGCAGTCAAATTTCTGCACAAAATCTGTTGTATAAACTGGCTACCTTCTAGCTACACAGTGAAGCTTTGTATGTTTTTATAGTTTACAGTCATACTGTGCTCTAAAATGCACTGACAAGTGTGTGCAACTATAATGAAGAACTCCATGCAGTTTGAGAGAGTTTTGGGGAAGTATACATTGAAGAGACTACTGACATCTTGTGTTTGTTAGCAATGTTAACCTCATAGCTCCTAACTAAATTAAAAACAGCAACATTTGGACACCAAACCTGTCTTGGCTGATCTACATCTAGGGTAAGTTGGAAAACTGTGTAAATTTGATTTTTCGCTCAACAATTACTTTCTGTAAGCTTTACAGCATCCATCAATTCTATGCTATAGTACATAGTTGGGATGCTGCAGATGTGTAAAAAAATTACTTAGTCAAAACACCATAAAAACAAACTAAACTACACTGGAAACATTCCCATGTTATATGTTGTTCAAGAGTTCATCTTTAAGTAAAAGAATTTATTCCTTTGATGCTGTGGTCCACATGTAGCACGTGGTCAATAAATTGCTATCAGTCATAAAAACATACAATCCACAGCTTTCTGGGAATGCACGGGCTGTGATTAAAACTTTCACATTCTCTGAGACAGTGGGCATCTTAAGAAACGTGAGCATACCAAAAGCTTCTACAGTTCACCAAGGTTTGCAGGAACATTCACCCACATGGATGAAAAAGAGAAGGGGAAAACAGAGTGGAAAGTTCATGTATTTTACAACCAGCATGTCAAGGTTTATAGAGCTCCACAGGGTCACAGAGAAAAATGCTTTTATAACATTATACTGTCTTAATGTCTGACAAGGCTTCAGACAGTGCCTATGAGAACCATATATTGTTAACTGTTCTCAAAATGTTGTCACCTGCTATACGGATATTGCAGAAAGCTGCAATATGCAAATGAGCCTGTAACAAATCAGAAACATTCAGCTGTATGCTGTGAGCAATCTGGCCAATCAGTTTCAGATAAGCATTTCTGCGGGTGCTTAGATGAATCAAGGCATTCACATGAACCTACAGACGTGCAAAGCTTTGGTCAAAATAATGTAGGTCCATTTTTGTCTCATCGCGTTCCCCAAAGTGCTTTAATATCTTGCAAGGCGTCCAGAACTTATGTAGCAATAGTATGAAGCAACATAGCAACAATATGTAGCAATATGTACAACAATATGTAGCAGCAATCACAGTCTGATATTTTTTCCATAATTTAGGGCATTACAGCCAACAGCTTGACCTGATCAAGATATTTTTCAGCCTCTTAAATGCTTGCCCTACAACAAACAAGAAACTCCTTTACTGATAACTGTAAGTGTAACGGTCGGTGACCGCACGAGAAGGAAACACGAGTCTTCCTGCCCGTGAGCAGATACCACAGAACCGCAGATGTGCTAGAGGCAAAGACCAGCTTCTACAGAAATACGCATTACGACTAACTCAAAGTCCTTGAATTTGCCAGCATTCTTATGTAATAGCTTGATAATGGACGACAAACAGGTAAAAAACCTTATAAGGTGCATGAACAGGAGAACAGGCAGAAAGAGAAAGAAACAGGAAAATATATTAATATGTATCACAAACCCGATTTGAACAAGCAATTAAAATTATTGTTTGTAAAAATGAATGTCCAGTGCAAACTAGGATTAGGTTTGTTTTGCCTTCAAGTGTTTGCAATTTAACCCACTGTACAAACCGGACTGATTTAAATATAATGCAAAGATAATGGATAATAAGACATCAACTAAACAGACAAAAAAATGAACCAAGAAAACTCATTGGAAACACAACTTTGAAAGCAAAAAACACCTGAGCTTCACTTGTTTCCCTTTCCACTGCACAATCTAACCTTAGTTTTAGTAAGGAAGTAGCCGTTTTGAGGCTACCTCACCTTCACTTGAGCTGAAATTCATAGGAATCTGATTTTATACCTCCTTAGAATCTAATATCAGTCAATAAAAACAGCAGAACTATTCCATGGCTTTTCATCTCACAAATGGTCAAATCACACACACATCAAACTGCCAAGTGACCAAGTCACTTACTTGTTTCGTCCCAAATGATGGTGTAGTCTGAGATGTGTGGCCCATCACTCTCTTGAGATTTTTCTTGGTTTCCCTTGCGATACTTGTAAAAAAAGCGACTAGCCAAAGTATCCAACCTTTGGAGAGTGCCCATAGACTGGCCAAAGCTTTGATCCCTTCCCTGAGCCATTGGCTGATATGTTTTAGCACCAAGCTGCACTACAGCCAACTGGTAAACAACAATTTGCTTCAGCTATAGGTTTCGAGGTCCTGATGAATGATAGATACTTCCTGTTTGTGATGCTTGCCTTAGCTTAGTGCACTACTGCTTTGTCTCACCGCATACAGAGCTAGTTACACTTCCTGTTAAAGATAACCAGCTTAATAGCTGCACAGTAACTGTGGGACAGCTGCTCTATATGGTGTTTTTCTTGTGAATCTTTAAACTCAACCAGTCAATCTATCAATCCAACCACTGGAAAATACGACAAACAAAAAGCTGGACAACTAGGTTGAGACTTTCTAGAACAGGACAGCTTAACCTAGTTGTTGCAGGCAATTGTATTTTGGTCAAAACCTCAAATGCTCAGCTGACATTGGGGACAGAGAAGTCAATAAACCAAAATTAGCTCTGGGGAAAAAGAGAACAGAAGTTTCAAGCAGACGAACATTACATTTACTAGACAGACGCTGCCTCTCACTACTACAAGCTTTCACTTTTTGTTTTAAATGTTTCCATTTCAAAGGATCAGTTTATGCCTTTTACACTGCACTGAATAAGGCCCCTGTAAGGCCTGATCTTAGATCAGTGTTTTTCCTCTTAGATGCTTGATATATATGGGCCAACAAGTCCTTTAACTTTTAATAATTTTACAAATACGGCTTGGTTTTAGAGTTCTAATCATGCTAAATGGTCCATTCATCTAAAATAGTAATCAAATTAATCTAAGTAGCAATCTGTAATCCCACTATTTTAACAGTTAACTGATCAGTGTATTACATTACTACTGAAAAGTTACTGAAACATGACTATTACCAAAATGTTTACTGAAATCTCATGACTTGACTGATTTCATGTTTATTTTGAAATCTGAGGTGGCGATTTATTAAATAATTTTTTATCAAATCTACTAAAGAATATTTATCTGTAAGCTGTGTTCAATGTTTTGTAGCATAAGGTCATTCTAGAGAAGGCCACTGTTAGATATTAGATATGAGAACTTGATGCCAATAAAATTTCCTGTGGGAAAGACAATCTCAGCTCAGTGAAAACCACCTGTCATGTTTGCTGAGGCCGATAAAATATTTCAGTAATATGGAAACGACACCACTTTCATGAAGAACACAATTTTATTTAGAGTTTTTAGTGTTAAATTAGATTCCTCTACCAACAAGAATTCCTTCCTCAACAAGAAACAGTAATGTAATTACGGTTAAAAGATACATTTAAACACAAAGATTCACCTTTCTTACTACAAATGTACATTTTCCCTTTCCATTTCACAAACTTTTTTTATGAAAGAAGCATGAACACTTCCCTTTAACACTGCTCTGACATTTTTTCCCATGGCTGCTTTGTATTTGACGAGTTGTGTTGAACCACAGTCATCTACATGAAATAACTTTATTACCTTTTTACAGCCTGTGTGGCAGATTCTCAATTTAGATAGAACTGAATACTTTGTTACTTCAGTTAACATTCACAATTTAAAGAACAAGTTCAGAACTGAATTAAATCTCGGGATAATTTCTCTCAAATTAACGTTAATTCAAAATCAGACACATTTTAAGGAAATTTATAAGCAGGTCTGGTCCCCTACAGATTTCGACCATGACCATACACTATACTTTAGATTTAATAATTACACAAGTTGTTACCGTTCACGTGAATAAAATTCTTGATGTAGCAATTTCAGACAATTATTGCTTATTTTTACCACTGGCTGCATAAAAAAACGTTACTTTCAAGAATTGATTGCAGCTGATTTTGCTGACATTTGCTAAATCACCAGAAATCGATCTCCACTGTTCCAGTGCATGATATGGTTCAAAATATGAATACTACTTTAGTCAAGCTTAAAGTAGTAGTCAAGACGTAATAGCAACTTGACCAATTTTAGACCAATATCCAACCTGCATTTCTTACGCAAAATAATAGAAAATGTTCTAATGTACTAGAGCAACTAAACATCTTTCTCCTCAGTAATAACATTTTGGAAAAGTTCTAGTCAGGTTGTAGTTAATGACCTCAGAGTCAATACTGCTGGGAACAATGCATTATTTCTCATACTGCTTGATCTTTCTGCTGCTTTTCACACTGCAGACCACACAATATTAACAGATAGACTTGAAAATGGGCTGGAGTGTGAGGAAATGTTCTTAAGAGGATTATTCTTATTTTATTGGTAGAAAGCACTTAGTCACTATAAATGACCATATTTCCAAAAAAATATGACATGCCTTTTGGAGTTCCACAAGGGTCTATTCTTGGACCCCTTCTGTTCTCTCTATATATGCTATCAATTTATTTTAAATTTCTAATATTATTAGTATTATTATTTTTTATTATTACCACTATTATAATTACTATTACTACTGTTTATAAATGTATTTTTTGTACTTTTGTTTATGTGATCTTATTTAAATGAATACCTATAAAATCTATTTTATCTTTTAATCCTCTGTGAAAGACTTGCATTCATGTATGAACGGCGCTATACAAACAAAGTGTATTACTATTACTATTGTTATTCTCATCACTATTAAAATACTGGTCTTGTACATTGATCGAAAATTTAATATAGAAAGATGAATTAAATGTACAAATACATTTTTACTTTCACTAAACTGACATTTTAAAGTCATTTTCAGCATTCATTGTCTTGTTCAAATTGTGTCCTAAGTAACATTTGACAAAAAAAATCAGCTTCGTTAGATGGTGACAGAATGAATGAAAGATGAATGATGAATGGCTAGCAAATGTGTGGTCGACCAGTTCATAGCTGATCTTAGCTGGAGTAACTGTCCCTGCAGAAATACACTTAACTAGCAAAATAAAACCACATTTAAAATGTTGTTATTAAATATTTCCCTAGCAAACCACTGAACGGCACGATGTCATCCGCAAGACGTAACGTTAACACAGCTAACCTTGCTCAGCTAGTTTTGTCGACAGCCAGAAGGCTAACGTTACCGTTGCCACACCTGACAGAGTGCTGTGTTTAGCTGGTTTAGCTGCGCGGTGCTAGCTAGCGTTAACCTATTGATGTCCTCCACTTCAACCACAAGATGATACAACAGGACATATATACATGGTTAGCTAGCTAGCTGGCTAAACCTAGCATAGCAAGCTAGCGTTTTTAGTATACTCACCGCTTTCTAATTCGTTGCCTTTCTTGGCCGCGGCGGCGTTTCCCATTGTTAGGAAGACACGGGAAAAATGTCAGTTTTAAGAACAGGTGGTGGCAAGGCTGATTGGGATTTATGGAGAGGGGTCCTTGGTTGGCTAGCTAGCTAGCAAGCGGTGTTCCTCGTCTCCAGTCCAGGCAGGTAGCTGGCTGGCTAGCTAGCGGGCTTTGTAGCTCGGCTTACAGCTCGCATCAATCGCGCTTCTATTAGCGAGCTAGCGAGCTGTCAACGGTACACAACACCGTCAAGCTAATCGATTTTACAGCTTTTAATCAGCTACAGTGAGGACACTTCGTGTTGTCTCATAGACGCATGAACATTATCGGTCTTTTCACCGGCCGACAGATGTATCAGTTACTGCTGACATCTATGTACTGGCATATTACTCTAATCTGAATGTGTCGCTGCCCGGTGCTGACAGACTGAACCCGCTTGCTAGCAAAAATAAAAACAAACAAATCCCAACCATCAGCCGGATGTGGCGTTACTGTAGATAAACGCGTCCTGTTGTAAACATGGCGCCATGTAGTGGACAAGAAATGAAATTACGAGTTACATCTACTTCTGATAGTACAGACAGTTTATTATCACCTTAGTTACCTTAAACGTGTTAAATAACTGCACGTCGTATTTCATTAATTTACTTAGAGCGTAAGCCAGTGACAAACATACAGGGGACCTGAGGCTTCTACAAGAGTCAGTCTGACTGGTCAGCAGACGTAAGTTAGGTAGGGTAACCTAACCCCGTACTCAAGTAAAAGTAGTGTTCGTTTTGTCGAATAACTACTCCAGTAGAAGTGGCTTTCCAAAAACAGCTTGAGTTGAAAACAACAAAAACTACAGAGCAACTTACAAAACTGCAGGGACTTCATAGTAAATCCAACATCTTACATCATCAGCATAGGAAGTTCATTAAGCAATATTTTCTCTTTCTGTGATCTTCTGTTCTTAAAGGGGAACTCCACCAACTTTTAAAGAATTCTGTATAATTAAATGGTTAACTTGCCAACAAAGCCATTCAGAGTGGTTTGGTGCAAAATGCTTTGATCTCGAGAGAGTTAAAAAGTCAGAATTGTCTGAAGAGTTTAATGCCTCTAAAAGCTCCCTCACAGAAAGTTATTACATGAAATGCTTGTCAAAACATTGCCTGATGTTTAAGATTTTGTTTTACACGAGTGTTGTAATGAAGTTTTGGTCTGAAATGTATTTTAATCAGTTTATCTTAGTCCAATCATGGTGGTGGGATACATGAAGGACGTTCTAAGTTCTCAAAATAGTCCCCAAAGAAAACATATTTTTTCAGATTGACCATTATTTTACCATCATCATCATTGCATATAAAATGTTAGAAGACACATGTAGGTTCACTGGTGGCTTTGGATACAAAATAAAATGGCTATATTTGCATAATAGACATTGGGACCCCTGGTGCCTATCACCACCACAGTAAAGAATAATGAGTCAGTAAATTTCTCTACAAACAAATTTCACATAAAAACCAACCTGAGTGACTTTGTTTATATTTCAATGCAGAAATTTGGAAAAATCAGTGGAATTCCCCTGAAAATGCTACAAGCTAGAAAAGTCAGAGGTGTGACCAACTGCTATACATGCTGTTACCAACATAACATGATGAACACTCTGCTATCATATCCAAAGCCAAGCCATAATTCATCCATTGCATTGTACATTATCAGAGTTCTTGAAGTTCTCAGAGTGGTTGGCTGGTAATTTAGGCCTTTTTTTTTTTAGTAAAATTGAGTTAAGTTTTTTAAATCTGGACATTATAAGCTGTATTACAGTAAAACTGCACCTAACATAAGTGTTGTTATAAAACATATGACAACATATGTAACTTATTCCCAAATTGATGTCTACTTAAGGGCAGTATTTCCATTTAATACTATATTTTCTTGTGTAGAGTAATAGAAAACTTTATTTTTACAATAATGAAATCATAGTGTATCATTTGCATAAAAGTCAGTACCTTTGTAAATTCAGCAAATTCATGTAACATATAATATTAAAATATAATACGTATATGCTACACAACCACTTAAATTAATAGTAGCTATGGTAATTCATTTATCCAGTCATGCTTCCATTCATTCATTCATTCATTCATACCCTCTCTCCAAAAAAATAAAAAATAAAAAAAATAAAAGTAATGTAACTAAAACAAAACAATTTGCTATTGACATTAAATATTTATGTTTGCGTCTCAGTCTATTTAAACTCTGCTTATTACTGTAACACAGGCCCGGTTAGTAACATCAGTTTGTCTATGTTGCTAAGACTTTGTTCTGGAAGCTACCACTGACTATAAGGAAGGCAGTATGTAACTATTTGATGGTGTTGTATTGGAAAAGAGGGAGTACGAAATATAGGCGCTTTGCATAGCGCTACGACGACATTCCAATGCTCAAAGCGAAACTGGACCTTTGAACATTTTTATGGAGGAAATTTTCTGTACATGACTGACCGGCGCGTACTAACATACAGATCCCCCTATTTTAGTAATGGTTCAGTCCATCGACGCTTTAACCCCCTCACTGTATACACTTGTGTTGACTACACGGCACTGGACAGGTTCATTTACACTACTGTGGCTGTAATATTGTCAACTGAAGGCAAATAAAAGCCAACTCTCTCAGAAAAAAGAGCCTATTCAGTGAATCAAAGAGAAAGAAAGAAAGAAAACCAGAGAAGGCCGCAGAGAGAGAGAGAGACTGGAGCAAGTGTTCAGGTAACGTTAACAGCCCCCGACGTTAGCTTCGTTTATCACTGCTGATTCTCATTCTTGCACTTGCTAGCGAGCTAACTTGCTAGGTCGCTAGCGGGATGACTGTGCGTTAATGAATGGATAAGAACACTTGCACAGTGTTTTCTTTATTTAAAATATATTATTTTGGTGCGTACACATGACCAAAGATGTAAGCTGAAGTGCTCAGCATTAAATCGCCCACCAGCCTCTTTCACACTGCATTGTGGGATAGATGAAGTGAGAAATGAGAGGAGCGAAAGATGCTGAGCGCAAACAGTAAGCAAAGAGCTAATGTTAGCAAACATATAGGCAGCTTTTAAGGCTACATCACATCGTCCCTCGCCAGAAAGGACACTAATCATATTTACTTGTGAATTCGCAGCTTTACAGACTCAGCGTTTGCCTGTGCGGCTTTGCCTGTTTGACTTTGCATCTCCGCAGTGTGAATCTGGGCCATAGACATACACATGAAGCGTTTCTGAGCTGAATGATGGTCTCGATGAGCTGTAAGGTGCAGTTTTAATGACCTACGTAAGCAACATTAAGAATAGGACATTTCATTATTATTGCACTTGATTACAGTGTGAATAACCTAACGGTCGGCCGTGTTCAGTATATGAAGAACAGGCCGTTAACGGTGGAATCTGTGCATCCATATGCTTGCGGCCTGTTTTTATCACCGAGGACCTGAAGTAAACCCATATGTAGGCCTGCAGCTGCTGCAGGGATGCTCATTGGGTGCTGAGGGATAACCCTGGTCTCCCTTTAAAGGGGAACTCGATTTCTCAAAAATTCTGGATAATTAAATGGTTGAGATGTAAACAAAGTCATTCAGAGTGGTTTGATGTGAAATGCTCCATTATAGAGAAACTTTATAGTGTCAGAATTGTTCACAGTGGTGGTCATAGGAACCAGACATCTGAAGAGTTTTAAAAAGTTATTACAAGAAATTGGTTATGGAGATGTTGCCTGATGTCTGACACATTGTTTTGCGAGAGTTTTGTAACGAAGTTTTGGCTGCAAATGAATTTTCATTCATTCATGGTTTAGGTGAAATAGTGCCCAAAGCAAACTTATTTATTCAGATTTATGCCTATTTTACCGTCATCAACATTACATATAAAACTCAGAAGACATGTGTGTTCACTACTGGTTTTGGATAGAAAATAAAAGGGTTATATTTGTGTTGTAGTTATGGTGACCCCTGGTTCCTATCACCACCACTATAAAGAAATCTGAGTCAGTAAGTTTCTCTGCAGTAAACTGTTTTACATCAAACCACTCTGAATGACTCTATTTACATCTCAAGGACTGAATTATTCAGAAATTTTGAAGAAATGGTGGAATTCTCCTTTAATAGGAAAAGCCCAAGGCCATGTTAGACTCGCCAACAATGGACACTGATGGTGCGCAGGAAAACAGCTCAGTGCACCTAGCACTGCCTGGTTTAGGTTTGCTTGACTTAATGTTTTACTCAGTGTTAAAACTGGATTTTGTATGAAAGTAAATAGGGATGTAGGGACCAGAATGAGAATTGTGGCCTGATTCCAATACCGAATATTTTGCTTGTACATGTCTGCAGTAGTGTAGTTTTGAAGTCCAGTGAAATTAGTAAAATATTCAAGACTTAATGCTATGGTATGTCCATAACTGTTACAGTGAGTTAATTGTAGCTCACAACCTAAGCGTTAATGTATAAGAATAAGGTTATGTTAATTACAGGTTATACGAAACCCTGTTACCATGCTGAGTCTTTCCATGCTGTGATGTTTAGCTTTAGAGATTTCATAACAACAAAGTAAATGACTTTGAACATGATCCATTTGGAAAAATGATGTGTCTGCCAGCTTGTTTAAAGAAAATATTTGTAAATAACAAAGTCACGCTTGAGGTTTGATTTCAGAATTGGAATTGGTAAATTAAATATATAAAAGTTGTTAATTTGAGGGTTGATCTCAATTATTCAGTGTTAGAGGAATACAAAAACTTAACAAATCCCACTGCGACTTTAATCCCCCTAATTTTCTTTCATGGATTAATGAGCAGGACATTGGATCTGTCACTGATGCTTGTTTATTTATCTGATAGATGGTAATGATAAAGTAAAAGCTTGCCAAAATCAATAATATGAAACAACAGCGAAATAATGTTTGTGTACTGACCATTGTTATACAGAAAACTGTTAAACTTATTGAAAAAGCAGAAGACTGAGTCGTTAGATGAATGGAGATCGAAACCCCAAGTAGGTAAATTCCTATCTTTCTATGAATTCTTAGAATGGTCTTCATGTTGTTGAAGGCTATATCTCTGCAGAGCTTAGAAGATACACGGAAATTGTCTCATTAAATCCTCTTACTAGGTTATTCCACTAAAGCCACTCATTGACTGAGGTGCTAATCTGACAACTGTTAGTGGATTAGAGACAATGCGTTATAGCATTTGAGATACTTGTGTAATTCATATCCTATTATTCTGCATCTTGTAGACAACAAACAGCAAATAGTATTTCCCCAGAAGATGAATGAGATCTTGTTTGAAAAGCTTTCACCTAAACATCACAAAATGCGCTACAGGCAAGTCCTGACTGTTTCTTTGTTTTCTCTTTTGATTAGCACTGATTTCTTTCTATATTTGTAATTCTTTTAACCCAGTCTCTTCTAAGCTCTTTTAAAAGGTGGGCAGTCTGTTCATTATCTCTCAGTAACTCAAGCAGACTGTAACAATTGTTTGGAAAGCAATACTGACAGTTATAGTGCTTAATATGGCTGACTCCAAAGTGTTCTACAAATGCACATATTGATAAGAACTTACAGCAAGGTTGGATGACTGTATTCCTTATTACATTCATTCATATAAGGTCAAGCCTAACCTGTCATAACAACATATACCCAGCTGTCTGTTTCCCACTATGCCTATATTCTGCACCAGTTTCTATCAGGGTTTAACCCTGAAACATAACTCTTTGGCCACATTAAACCCTGATAGAAACTGGTGCAGAATATAGGCATAGTGGGAAACTTACAGCAAGGTTGGATGACTGTATTCCTTGTTACATTCATTCATATAAGGTCAAGGCTAACCTGTCATACCAACATATACCCAGCTGTCTGTTTCCCACTATGCCTATATTCTGCACCAGTTTCTATCAGGGTTTAATGTGGCCAAAGAGTTATGTTTCAGGGTTAAATTTAGACACACGGACACCATGTGTCTATGATTTCAATGTCAGTGTTCAATGTCAGCTACTGAAGCTTGTACATGATGTCTGTTGATTCTCAGTGGCATTGCAATAAATAGAATAATAACAGGGCAGATCTCATAATATCATATTATATTATATATTAGGTAAGGGTGGCCTATACGGTGACACCATTATTGTGATATAGTATATCATGAGTATTGGCAGTGCTTCTTGAACTGAACCAATACACATGTATGCAAAAGTTTGAACACACCTGGTCAAATTGCATGTTTCATTGATTTTCTAGGTGAATATAAGTTCACACATCCTCTACAGAGAAAACACTTAAATGTGGTATTTTTATTCAAATTATAGTGGATAGTTTATATTTATTTGCTGAATTTAACATATTGGAATAAGATAAAACAGGAAGTATAAAATTTGTCATAACTTTTGCACAGTCCACATTTAATATTTTATTTTTTATAACGTAAAATTCAGTAAATTAAAAGTAATCATGCACTAAAAGTGTGCAGAAGTATGTTCTCTGTAGAGAAGTGTCAACTTATTTTCACTTAGAAAATGAGCAAAACATGTAATTTGACCAGGGGCGGTCAAACACTTACATGGGACTGTGCATCATAAAAAGACAGATTTAGACCTATTACAGAGTGCCTGTAAATGGCAGCCAGTGAATGGGGAGGGAAAAGGCAGACTTATGCCATCTGCTGGTTGCATTTAAAACATTTTGAATAGCTATTCTTTTTTTCCTCAGGGAGATTTTCTAAAATAGATTAAAAATCACTAAAAGCTGGAACTTTTGTTAAACTGTCATTTTGCAACCACACAATCACTTTGAATAGAATAGCAGAATAAGCTGTATATATGTGAAGATTAACATACAGTTAAACTATGGAACCCACGGTTCAGTGCTGGTCCCACTTAATGGGACGTGTGATAGAGATGTCTTCTGGGTGACAGACTTTGAGGTTCATTTAAGGAGAACATCTGTGAAAACTGGCTTATTCCTGTCAGGTACTAATCTAGATCATTCATAAGGTGTCAAGTGATACGAGGTGACAGCACAGTATGCGCCTCACCTCCAGTTCATTGTTAACCTACGCTTCAAACAGCAGGGAGCAATCAGCTGACTTTTCTTCCCTCTAGTAACTGCATAGGAACAAGCAGATGTTTGAATGTCAACTCATTAAGCGGTTATCTTATTTTATTAATTTGTTTTGACCAACTACTTGATTTTTCCTCCTGTTCGTTCTTAAATTGTGTATTTTTGCCAACACTGCATTTTAATGACCACACTTTCATTCTTAAAACACACTGTTTTTCCATTTTTTGCGTTTTGTCTGACTCATTTGTGAATCAGTGCAAATAGTACTGTGATCCATATCATGGTTTGTGAAATTGTCTTCAAGTATTGCAGTGTTTTGTACTGTGGCATATTTTACATGTTTAATTCAACAGCACACATTTTTAAATTAAACTAATAATTAGCTAAATAATAAATTAAAATAACTAAATTTCCTAAGTGGCATTGAGACCCCAACTGGTCTTGCTATCACAGTGAGGGTAGGAAGACTTAGCTCCAGTTGTCTGCCTATATATACACACATACACACACACACACACACACACACACACACATATATATCACCACATTGTGATACATTCTGTTTAATGTAAATTATCAAAAACAAAACAAAAGAAAGAAGGCAGATCACTCTACATGATGTCACTGTTCACGCCACATATATGCTGCTTAAAATTTCAGCACCCACAGCTTCAA